GCTGTTAGTATTGCTGTAGAGTCTTGTTTAGAAATACCTATATAGCACAATAAAAATTTACATTCCACTTATACAAAACAGGCATTTATTAGAAAATAGATATTATGACAAATGGACAATTCATATTTGGAGGATCATCTGTTCACTCATGAATACATGTCTGATTACTCTTCAGAAAATGTTTCATCTTGTTTGTGATCCATAACCAATATGTAGTTATTGCACTTGATGTTGTGAGTGTGTTCTACAATTGTCCCACTATGTGTTCATATGTGTATTTTCCTGCCCCACAAACAAACCAATATGGAAATAGTAAGCTGAATGACACGTGGGTGACATCTGCCCAGAAATGTTCTTTTAAAGACGTCTTGTCATTATTGAGGGTGACAAATTGTTTTACACCAGTGTGTAAAAAATTAAACTGTTCAAGTTTACAAATGTGAGAAACGGCTCACAGCACATTACTCACACCATTATGACTTCTCACAGCTGCTATTTACAAGTGACTTCATGTCTGACGTGACACTAGTGTTTTAAAATAAAGTTAACTTGTGTAACAGGCTTCTTTATAGTCACTTTGTTAAAACTGCACCCTTCACTCTTTCTGTTTTCTCTACTAACATGGAAATTGCTGGTTAATGTTTATGTCAGACTCTGAAAGTGGCCCTACTGTATAAACGAGTCACTGTGGAGGCAACACTTATGCAGAATAATGTGTTGGAGAGAAGCACAACAGGTAAAGACAGGAGGTATTTCCATCACTCTGCAGTCGCAGCTATATGACACTGAACAGACCTTCATTGTGCGGACCCTCTGATCTGTAGCCGCAAGTTTTGTCAGAATATTTCCAACCCTTTAAAAACACCTAGTAGGCCTACTGTATGTAAAAGCAAGGGCGTCACTTTGTGTTGTAAAGATTTGGTGACATAGGTCTGAGATTAGGGGTGTGATGAAAGACTTTGGTGATGAGAATAAGACGAGAAGATATTTTAACACTTTTTTGAAGAAATATTCAATGATAAAATGTATGAGTGGGGGATCTGGGAGTCCTCCCCCAGAAGATTTTGAGCATTAAACTCTTACTTTCCTGCATTCTGGAGTCATTTTCTGCACCAATTTATGGAGTAAATGTCTTTATTTATATGAATGGCAGCACAAAATTCAGCAGGTGACAATTCAAAATATAACAATAAAATGGAATATAATGCATTGATCAGTAGCATTTTTTGTTGCTTAAGTAACTTTCTTGGACAATGCACACTTTCTTCTGTATTCAAATTGCATTGCATGTTTCTTATTGTGCAAGTAAACCTTTCTCAAAGCATTTTCATTCAGCCTACAAGAAGACCAGGGGTCTCTATCTGTAGCTACCGATTCCAGCAACGTCCATGAACACAGTAGCCAATTTAAACATTGCAGAAAAATGTTTTCTCACTCACTGCTCTCAACATTGGAATACACATGAATAAAAACATTACTCACTAGCCAAATTAATTCTGCTCTCCTTGCCTTCACTTCTAATATTTCCACACAAGCAAGGAACATACACCTCTGCTGCAAACACAGCGGCTTACCCTACCTCTTTCTTTTTCTCTCTCCCTGTATTTGTCGGCCCTGTTGACTTTTTCCATCAGCAGTGGGCTGTTTTATTTTATAAAGTGGCCGAAATGACACAGCACTCGCGATTTTCACCCGCGATACCGTTTTCACCCGCGGGTGCGCGGAGGAGGCTAATGAGGAAGCCAATCGAAACCGAACACTGATATTAATATCAATATGACCGGCCTAACCTGAAACAAATAGTCCGGTCCCTCTGTCATATGCCAGAACTGCCAGGTGGCCAATCCGCCCCTGCATGACATTATATTTTTACATCATTTACATTTTCTATAAATTCTGTAAATAAGTTTTTTCCACATAAGAGAAAACATGGTAAACACTGATTTTGTCACATCATTTCTCCAAACGTAAACGCAAGACGGTGAGCAGTTCTTAACTTTTTTTGTAATGGCCCCCCTCAGAAGCCAAAAAAAATTCATGCCCGTCTCATAAAAGCTTCTCTGTTATTTTGTGGACAGTAAAAAGAATCGACTGTGTGTTTGTACCTTTTTTACAAAACGTCAAAACACTTTAGGGCTCTTGAAATGCTTTTGATGGGTGAGTTTTTGTTGGCAAAATTGTGTCTGAATATTTTAACCTGACAAATGTCTGGATCAATGCACCCCTTTCTTCTGATTCCCACATCCAGACCCCACATCACATGGTTCTTTCCTTTGTATCCTACGGCATACTGTAAATACAAGTATATTTGTACATTGTTAACTTTTGTAAATAACTATCAGTGCTCTTTGCTGGTACTTCAATTCTAAATGATCAATATACTGATAATAAATGTTTTAATGGTCAGAGAGTAAATATCAACCATCTATTTGCCTATTTACGCAGTTAGACTTTATCTGACTGTGTTTTCCATATCTCCATAAACATCCTCAGGCCATCTGTTGCCACACACTTTAAATCTTTTCCCCCTCAAAACAGAACGGTATACGTTCTTTCTCTCATTAATCTCAGTATATTTATCTGTCTTTACACATGTCCATTTTAGAAGCCATGGGAACCTTAACGTAGCCTCACACAGACAACAGAAAAAGCTTGATGTTTAGGTTAGTCTGTATAGACCTTATACTCAGGGATCAACTTCATACTTGTCTACAGACCTAACAGACAGGGACGTCGCACAAAAATCTGGGCCCTGTGTGCAAGCATTCTCCATGGGCCCCTCACGGTATACACAGAAATATGTTATAGTATCTTTGTGGGCCCTGCTCACATGAGGGCCCAGTATACTCATCCCCCCCCCCCCCCCCCCCCCCCATAATACTATAATAGACCACAGCTTCCACTCATTGGGCAAAAATAGATTCCAGTTCATGCTGAGAAAAACCTCAGTTGCATTCCTCTGGACTCTTTGGCATGTCTGGCTTCTGTTGCCATGGAAACTAGGTGGAGTTCTTTCAAAGGCCGGCTCTCATCGGGGGAGACAGTGGCACGACCATGTCAAAATCAGCAGTCGACTGAGAAAAGGTCAAAGGACGGAAAAGATCCAAAGAGCCAGTGATGGAGTGGACACTAAGGATGTGCTTTAGGATGTCCATCCCAGCTGACATTGGGCGAAAGGCGGGGTACGTCCTGGACAGGTCGCCAGTCCATCGCAGGGCCACACATAGACAAACAACCACACACACTCACACCTAAGGACAATTTTAGAGACACCTGCATGTCTTTGGATGGTGGGAGGAAGCCAGAGCACCCGGAGAGAACCCAGGCGGACACGGGGAGAACATGCAAATTCCACACAGAAAGGCCAGGGCAACCTTTAGGATGTGAATTAGAAAAATTACAGATGAGTAGTCTGTAATAAAATAGGGACAAGGATCACAGTGGAACCCGGAGTGTGGCAGGAGATAAGTATACTGAGACTAGGATGGAAATGGCTCATGTAAAGAATCACTGAATAAAACACACAGGAGGAGCAGTGTACAGTGAGTTATTAATGGGGTGCCATAAGACTTAAATAGGTGGTCCTGCCCAGCTGGACTGCAACTCTATTTGTTCAAAAATGTACATGTTGGACTGGACGTTTGAGTGTAGGCCAAAAGGAAAAAAAGACATGGCAGGCACATCCAAATGAATGGATTATTCCTCAGCAGTTTTAACCTGAGAGGAAAAGTCTTGTTTTATGGTATGTGTGTTGCTTGTATCTCTCAGAGGCACCTTTAGGTGGCTTTAAACATCTCTCACTAAATACTTTACTTGCCTTCCTGTTCCATCTTCTCATTTGATTTTTGTGGCCAGTAGATTTGGAATTTATTTTGTGTCAGTGCCTGACTGAATATGTTGCAGTAATGCAGGAATGACAAAAATGCTCTTATTAATACAAGCAGGGGTGGTGTGTACACCAGTGAGTTAACCAGGAGGTGGTAGAAATACTTCACAAACTTGTAAAAAGAAAGAAAGAAAAGGCTTGAGTGTCAGGCAGTGAATGCATGTTCATATAAATTTCACCACAAATCATGTTGACTTGGAAGTTAGAAGTCCTCTGGACTGTGTACATTGTCCTTAGACAAAAATAAATATGATCTGAAATAATGTGCATATCAGTATGTTACAGCCAAATGACTGCATACCTCTGTAAATGTGCATTGGGTTGTATGGATTAATCATGGTACTGGTTTTTGGTCAGATTTAAAGATATTATATATTTGCTTGTAAGGAAAGTTTTAGCCCAAATAAATTTGGGACATTAAAGGTGGCTCCCTCTTGTGGATAAATATAATAAGTACAGTTTATCCCAACCTAGCCTGTGAAAGTGACACATTTGTCTCACCATATGTATTCTTCATGCTGAATTGGTATATAACAGCTTAATATACACAATTCACATTTCATGGTAGACTCAGCCAAAGTTGAAATGAACATACATTTTAACTTGTTGTTCTCAAGCACAATCTTTTGCAATAATTCAGCAGTACAACCAGTAGACATAAGACATAAGCAGTCAAATCAATGAATCACCACATTGACAAAAAAATACTCTGTATTATATATTGTGTGTTGAACACACACACACATATATATACATATAGGATATGTATATAGGATATATATGTACACACACACAAAAGAAAGTAATTTAGGCTTTAAAACGTTAATAGCAATTTTTTAAATGGAAATTGTTTATTGGTTTCCAGTAGGTGATACTATTCATGGTGGTTTAAAGGAATTTCATACTGGCAGAATTGCTAACTTCCATCCATTGCAAATGGCATACACTTAAGACAGAGAAATGTGTGGCCTCCCAATGCCTGCATTTTGCAAAAGAGATTGCTCATTTGACTCATACAATGCTGAACTGCTACCATGCTAATGTTTGTACTTACTAATATAAATGCAGCCCTCTCTCATATCTGTCTTGTCGACCTTCCACACAGGCCTTGGCTATGCCTCCCCTCCCTGTCCCCTTGCTCCTGACACTGCTACAGCTTGTAGTATTTACTTATGTGAGTGGTGGGGCATACTACGGACACAAGCAACACCCTCAGCCATACCAGCAAATGCAGCACCTCCAACACATGGGCATGGGCAAAGAAGGCTTTCCCCAACAGCAGTACCTTGGAAAAGAGGTGCCCTATATGCAGTATCCCCACTACAGGAAGGAGCTTCCTCAGGTGCCCATGCACAAAGGCAAAGAAAATGCTCGTAAAGGTGGCAGCTATAATGGTGGCCAAGACAAAGGTGAGAAAGTCATAGTTTCAACAAACAGTAGCCTAACCATTAATCTTTCAAGAACAAACATTCAGATTTTGAACACATGTGACATGACCAGTGCAGGTTTCTACACAAATGTATCATTTCTGGTTGAATATTTATCTCATTCCTAACAGGTCAGACAATCCCTAGTGGTGCTGAGGGAATTCCCCAAGGAGAGCCGGGTCCAGCTGGGCCACCTGGACCAGAGGGACCTCCAGGACCTCCTGGACCTCCAGGCAACGGACAGCCAGGACCTGCAGGTCGACCCGGACCTCCTGGTCCACCAGGAGTGCCTGCAGTGGGCAAACCAGGTTTACCAGGACTGCCAGGCAAGCCAGGAGGAAATGGTGAGGCTGGACCACAAGGAGAAATGGGCCCTAGGGGTGATGAAGGGCCAGCTGGACAGCCAGGGCCTCAAGGTCCCCCAGGACCACCTGGGCTACCAGGAATAGGTAAACCTGGGGTACAAGGATTACCAGGTCAACCAGGGCCCAAAGGAGAGCCAGGTCACAAAGGTCTTCCAGGACTTCCAGGATTACCAGGACCCAAAGGAGAGAAAGGGATGGGCCAGCCAGGACAACCTGGTCACAAAGGGCTCCCAGGTCCCCCAGGACCAGCTGGCCCAAGAGGGCTTCCTGGTTTTGGAAAACCTGGGTTGAACGGGGCACCAGGCCCACAAGGACCACCAGGAGAGAAAGGATATCCTGGAGATCAAGGAGCAGCTGGGCCACCTGGTGAAGGAGGACAGCCTGGCCCACCAGGTCTACCTGGTCAAGGAAAGCCAGGTCAAAATGGCCTGCCAGGACAGCCAGGCATGCCAGGTGGGAAAGGTCATCCAGGACCACCAGGTTTGCCAGGAAAGCCAGGACTGCCTGGATTTGGTAAACCAGGTCTCCTAGGACCAAAGGGCGACAAAGGTATGGGTGGGCCACCGGGATCTCCAGGACCAAAAGGAGATAAGGGTCAAGGAGGACTCCCTGGAATGCTTGGACCCCCTGGACCAAATGGTCCACCAGGTCCTCCAGGCCTTATGGGACCCCCAGGAGGTTTAGGTGCGCCTGGTCCTAAAGGAGAATGTGGAGAAGGAGGACCTAAAGGGCTTGATGGAGCCCAGGGAGACCCTGGTCCATCTGGGATACCTGGTAAGGATGGTCTGCCAGGAGATCGTGGAGAGCCAGGACCAAGAGGTCCACCAGGACCAAGTGGCGCCAAAGGAGACGATGGGCATAAAGGTCTACCTGGTACACCTGGTCCTCCAGGACTTCCTGGGCCAAAAGGACAAAGCGGATTACCTGGTGATATGGGACCTCAAGGTCCTAAAGGAATCCCTGGAATGGATGGCGCAGCTGGACCATTGGGGCCTCCTGGTCCTCCGGGGCCAAAAGGAGAAAGTGGTCCACCTGGTCCACCAGGCATTGTAGGTGAGGGGAGTCCAGGTATTAATGGTCCCATTGGACCCCCAGGGAAAGAGGGCCCATCAGGACCCCCAGGACGACCAGGTCAAGCAGGCCCTCCTGGACCACCAGGCCCACCTGGACCACCTAGTATGTCTCCGGACATGGCAGGAGTACTCTCTGAGATGGGCCCTGGACTAGATGGTGTTAAGGCTGGTAGTTATGGTAAGAAGGGCAAGTATGGAGGGAATGGGGCAGAAGTAATGGGTGCTAGTGGGTTGGAAATGCCAGCATTCACAGCTGTAGCAACAACTCCCTTTCCACCTGTGGGCACTCCAGTCGTCTTTGACAAGCTCTTGTACAATGGTCGCCAAAACTACAACCCCCAGACAGGAATTTTCACCTGTGACATGCCTGGCATTTATTACTTTGCCTACCACATTCATTGCAAAGGAGCTAACGTGTGGGTGGCTTTGATGAGGAACAATGAGCCAGTTATGTATACATATGATGAATACAAAAAGGGTTTCCTAGATCAAGCATCAGGGAGTGCAATATTGCCTCTGCAACCTGGGGACACTGTGTATATTCAGCTGCCCTCAGATCAGGCCTCAGGACTTTACGCTGGGCAGTATGTGCACTCTTCCTTTTCCGGGTATTTGTTATATCCGATGTAAAACCACAAACTGCAGCAAGGGAGAGGCTTTAGTGAAAACAAAGTGGGAGCATGTTTTTTTAAAATTATCATGATCATAAATCACCTTAGCAGTATTTTTAATGTAAAGTCAACAAACTATTGATTTTGTCAGCAGCGATGAGAAGACAAGATAAAATATCTTGAAGAAATTTGAAGTATGATGGTGTGTATATACAGCAGTTTTTATACTGTATAGCCTTACTGTGATGTAATTAGGAGAACAAAGATGTTTTCTTTTACAGTTTTGAAGATATAAAAGAATATATGAAAAGGCATTCAAGGAACACCTCAAAAATAGCTGCACATGTATTTTCATACAGAAGAGTACCCAAAACCTATCAGTACAATTTGTTACTAGGTACAAACATATGAAGGGAACATGTAAAGGGTATACACAAGAAGATCAAACAAACCGTGCAGCATCACATTTTGTTTCTGCACCTCTTCAAAACTGGCAGCTACCCTATGTGGTGGAGAACAAAATACAGTAGAAAACATTCATTTTGGTAGGAAATTTATATTTTTGCATGCATATAAATATTATTTTTGTCTCTCTTGTTGATAATGGCAAGCATGTAAAAGGTCTCTTGAGAATGACAACACATTAAAAGGTTTGCATTACAGCAGTTTGCACATGTTTTAGAGGTAAACGCATTAACCTGCAGATGACTGAGATTAGGAAAAAGGTTAAATGTATCGGCTTTTCAGAGAATCAATTTCAAAAAGCTCCCAAGTTACCAAAAAAATCTATTTGCAAAATAGTGCTGGAGAACAAAAAATTAGATGGTAAAATTAAATAATAACGCGCATGATATATGTTGCTGAGTGACAATTACTCCCATGAGTGAGATTCAAAGAGTAAGAATGTAATATTAATTTCATGTTTTAATGTTTGTGTATAGGTTTAGTGCTGTAAAGAAAAAAAGATGTGCAAAAATTCAAAGGTCAAACAAACACACCATATTGCCCTGAGCTGTGAAAACCACTGCATACACTATATTAAACATTACACCACAAAACAGAAAAGTCCACACTATACAGCATCTCTGTGTCACTAACTAAACCGCAGCATTATATAGATATAAGTGAAACATGGTATATCAGAAAGCACAGAAATAAATTAAAATAAAATGTATTGTTATTTACTGTTTTTAATTTCAAATTCAACCGATTAAATTCTGTTACTGTTTAGTCAGCCTTATCCAGTCTTAGCTGTAATTGCAGTATAATGATACAGAAGAGGATGTCATGTGTAGAAAACAAATTAGGGATTGTTGTTTTGAAATGAAATACTTCAACAGTGGGACTTTGTTATCCAGTCCCTCTGGTGTGATTTGTTTAGAAGAGAGAAAACAAATTAAGTCAAGCAGCATTCTTGCGTTGTGCTACATTTAGACAGGTTTACTGGGAATACAAAATATATTTGTATTACAACTGACTGACTCAAAGCAAGTACTGAATGTTGCTGCAATCCATAAAAACAATTGTGTCAATAATTTATTATTTTATCACCTACATGACAACGACAAAAGGTATGACAACTTTTAAAGGAAAACAAATGTATAGTCCTCCTTTAACCATGGTGCTAATATTGTCTTTGTAAGCAAAGATTTTAATGTGATAATGTTTCATGTTTGTTATTATTGTCCATGTTGTTTTTTTCTAAATAAAAATTGTTTACTTAAAAAACTGTTGTTGACATCTCTATTAGCAAATCAAACCCATTTGACTGAGGCTGGTATATCCATTGAAAACTGCCTGGTTAGGATAGCAGGATGTATCCTGGTTTACATTTCAAATGTAATTTCCTTATGTTAAAGTAACATGATGTTTCACTCTGCAAGGGACCATGGATACCAGCAACACTTATACGGTAAGACAATGTAACATGCAAGACACCAGATGCTGTCATCTTTGTTGTAGTTTGAGAGCCACACCATGCAGGTCAGCTTTGAAGCATTAGCGTCATGATGACTGGATTAATTGGTTAGACCATATCAAGGACAAAATATGACATAAAGCACCTGTTTTGTTTATCTGCTCTATCATGATACTCATGGTAATAACTCATTTTAAATGCCCGGAAAGCCATCGTTTTTGCAAGTTAAGTTTCAGGACCATAACAGTGAAAGAAATGGCCAGGCTTTTTATCTGGTTTTATATCCTATGTTTTGGATTTTTATTTTTTTCCTTATTTGTTTTTATTGAAAAGCACTTTGTAACTTAGTTTTAAAAGGTGATACATAAATTAAGTTCAGTGGGAGAATGTAACTACATTTACTCAAATACTATACTTAAATTACTTGTTCTTTACTTTAGTATATCTACATTATGCTACTTTATACTCCTACTCCACTGTATTTTGGAAACCAATATTGTACTCTACTACATAAATGCATATAACGTAGTTGAAATTAGCCCCACCTTCACCAGCTGCAACATTAGCTGCTTACACATTCATGAATCACCAATTACAATCCATTAGTCTAATATACATTATTCTGAAATGGAATTGGACTACTTTTACTTTGGGTACTTTAAGTATATTTTGATGCTAATACTTCACCATTGCTTTTACTTGAGTACAGATTTGTTACTTTTACTTTTAAATTAACAAGCTAACCAGCAGACAAAGTATATAAAGTAATTAAAATCAGCCTCACCTTTACCAGCTGCAACATTAAAGGGATGTACACATTAATGCATTGCATCAACAGTTAATATAATAACATCATTATCAACATTATTTTGAAATGGGCCATGATAACAGCAGGGTCTGAGGAAGGATGCTGATGCTGAGGTGGGAGGTCTTTCATTTGAGATTGTGCGCATGCGCGGAGCGGTTTACAACATCCATTTGTCACTTCTTTTGTTAGTACAGATTCAAACAAGGAGCCCAACCAAACGGTGAGGAAATACGCAGAGGTAGGCATCGTTAGAAATCAAAATTTTATATTGTGTCATACTCTGTTGTAATTGCTAATGATCAAACGACGCCAGCCTCAACATACAGGTCAGTACCGATCTGTTTATAGGTAATGCTTAATTGTTTAGCTAGCAGCAGCAGCTAACGCCCTAGCATGCTTTGAGTCGGTACAACAGCCCAACTAATCTGCCTGAAATTATTTTCAATTTAAATAGTTGTAAGCACCTTGGTATCAGAATTACAAGGAAACAGTGAAGCATGTATTAGTACATTGTAGAAAGTACTCTCGCCAAAGGAGGAAATTGTTTAGAGACCTGGGAGCAATTGGAGATTTTAGCATACGCACTCTACTTAATTTGGATAGTTGGAACAAAATGAAGAAACTGATCGAGTACCTACATAAAACTGGTTTATACAAAAGGATATAGGCAATTACCATTAAGATGTGAATAACGAACAGAGGAGGGCAGCAATACGCCACAGATGCGTCTAGTCTGCCGGAAACAAGAAGAAGGTATCAGAATTAGACAAGGGTCTGGCTTATTATGGTTGTTTTCATTTCATTATTTATTTGATTTTCTCTCCCCTTTGATCTTTGATGGCACCGTGTTTGTGTAGGAAATGAAACGTCTTTGAATATATTTAGGCTTTGGACTGCTGCCAAAAAAGCACCTTGAAGACATCACCTTAGGAAATTGTGATGGGCATTTTTCACTGTTTCCGGCCATATTATAGACCAAGCGATTCAATGATTAAAACAATAGTTAGTTGCAACCCTAGTTCTGTCAAGTTTTGGCTTCTAAAATAGGATGTTTTGATGTGTAGATCTCCCTCAACATGACATCACGCCTTGGCCCCAGAGCTGCTGGCACCAATGCAAGTGATGTTAAACTCAGAGAGAGGGTGACCCCGCAGTACCAAATGAGGCAAGTAAATTTGATCTATTTCTAAAATTGGTCATTAAATATGACTGTTATCTTTGAATAGCAACAACATCAATAAGGATTGCTAATACACTTTGCTTATCTGTTTTGCAGTGCGTCCTTGAAGTCAGAGGTGCGAAAGTTAAACCTGGTGCACCTTCTCATCTGGCTGCTGGTGGCGGCACAGGTGTCTGTCAGCCACTTGAACCTGGTGTCACATGACACAGTGTCCATGCCGTACCAGTGGGAATACCCCTACCTGCTCAGCCTCCTCCCCCTGCTCTGCAGCAGCCTGTCACTTCCAAAGAACAATATCAGTTACTTGGTCATATCCATGATCAGCGCAGGGCTGTTCTCTGTGGCACCTCTTATTTATGGTGGAATGGAAATGTTTCCTGTAGCACAGCAGCTCTACCGCCATGGAAAGGCCTACCGCTTCATTTTTGGCTTCTCTGCAGTGACTGTTATGTACCTCATCATGGTGGTTGCTGTTCAAGTGCACGCCTGGCAGTTATATTACATGAAAAAGCTGTTAGACTCATGGTTCAACACCACCCAGGAGAAGAAGAAGAAATAATGTGAAAGGTGAAGAAAGCTGTTACTGGGCAAAACTGTGTTTTTATCTTAATTTCTACATTTCCACAGTTATGAGTCGGCAACAATTAGTAGATTAATCGATTAGTTGTCAGCTGTTAAATTAATCCCCAACTATTTTGATATTCAATTAATCGTTAACTAATTTTCAAAAAAGTTTTGAAGAAAAAAATGTCGAAATTCTCTTTTTTTAGCTTCTGAAATGTAAATGTTTTCTGGCGTCTTTTCCCCTCTGTGACAGTAAAATGCATATCATTGGGTTGTAGACTAAACAAGACATTTGAGACATCACCTTGGGCTTTGGGAAACATTTGGGAACATTTTTCACCATTTTATGGACTAAACAACTAATCGATTAATCGTAAATATGATTGACAGACTAATCAGTAATGAAAATCATTAGTTGCAGCCCTAGTCTTATTCATGTCTAATTATTCAGTCATCATTATAATGTAACATCATACCTTTGACACCAGTGTTCCCTGACACATAGGTGTAAAATAGAGGAAGATGTACAATTTATGCAAGAACATGTATTTATTTGATTAAGTGGCTAGTGCACACGACCAGGAGTGGCATCAAAGCGACATCCATAAACATGGCATTCAATCACTTTGCACCCTCTTCATTACTGAGTCTAAACTGCAGTTTCTCTCCAAATAGGGAATTTTGAACCTGGGCATCATTGTTGTCACTCTCTGTTCATACAAGTACAACAGCGAAGGCATGGATGTTCTAACATAAACATTTGCTTAGAAATTGCTATTATATGTGTAAAATGACTTAGGTTTGCCTTTGATGCAGATGCGCTGCCAGTGTCTCTTTCATTAAGTATACCTCTCACAATATATTTTTAGAATGCATCCAAAACTCACAATATCCTGTACAGTATGTTTTAAGGCATTCTCATTCGGCATCCAAAAGCCAATTTATTGAGCCTGTGTACATGAATAAAATTTGCGTTTTAAACCAAATAAAACCCAAATGAATGCTCTTCACTTGTTACAGCTGATGCTTGACAATCTTTAGGTGTGTAAGTCAATCTCAACGCACTTTGTCCCAGGTGGTCTGCGGCTGCGCTCAGTGACTGCCACGTACTGGTTGACGTTGACAGTTTGGACGACGCTTCCTGATGTTGGCAACCGGGTCTAGCTAGGCTAGCTAACAGATTTTCGTTTCACGGTTTGGAGGAAACCTGTGAAATACAGCGTGGTCAAGTCGTCTGATTCAGGTGAAATACTTTGTTTTGTTTGTGGCCCAGCTATAGCAGTTTACATACTCCTCCTGTTTGAGTGGTGAGTAGCAAGCTAAGTGGTTAGCGTGCAAGGTAGCGACGGATGTTAATTTCGCTAACGCTACGGACGGAGCTAATGGTAAGCTAGCTCGCCCAAACAGGTGTTTAGACTTGGTTTGTAAGAAGTTAAATACAAAAATATCCGCCTCTAACCTATTCTGATTTTAAGGTTGACAAAGTTGATACATTGCTAAGTTAAGAATACCCTGGTTTACCTAACTTTAGCTTAACTTTAGCCTGTTAAAAGTAATGTTAGCTCTTACAGGTTTCACAGGATACTGCTTTTTGTTGCCGACCGATTTCTTTAAAGTGAATCTAAGGCAGGTTATTTTACTGCAACTCATGGAGGTATACAGTATGAGATTAACTATAATATTGCTTTTTACTCCGCATGCATAATGTATACTGACGCCATTGATACGGCAATGGTGAAACGGCCTAGCAAACGTTAGCAATCATTAAGTTAGCTGTGTGTGGGCCACTGACAGATGACTCTGCGATTGAGCGTCTTTTACAATCAGTGTTAGATAGACTTGCCATTTAATAATTCCACTTTGAACGTTTAATTCAGACGCGCCAAACGTTAATATGGTAGAGCCAATCTCGGTAGTTTGTTGTTATACCTATTTAACATAAATAAATGCTAAATGTTAGCTACCACACAATCCCTAGCATCCAGCCAATTATTCATCTGGCTAGGGCAGCCAAAGCCGTAGCATTTCTGGAATTAAATTCACAGTTGTATGTTGTCCAGCAGGCAACGTCATAGTTAATCTAAGTGGTAACTACACACGATCAGTGAGATTTGTTAATTTTTCACTGACTGATGAGGCCAATTTATCTGAATGGGTGGAAGATACCAAACTTAATCTGGGAGTTTCCCCTCTCTTACATATAAAAGATTTACTTTACAGAAATCTTTGATTATCTTATCAAACGGATTGATATTTACGGTCAAAGTCCTGTAAGGAGTTCTGTAGTAGCATAGAACTGTCCTTGCCACCTCACTGGGTGATGGTTGACCCTTAGACTCAGTTACAGTGAAAACTGATATTGTTACTGACTAGGCAGAGCTTTGGTGGGATTGTTAATGTGGTTTTTGATTGTAATCAGTATAAAATGATTAACTTGAGAAAACATTTGGGATATAGCCTCATTGTTAAAGATTAAGAATAATAAGTTAAAAGAAGCTCTCTCCCTCTCTTTGTAATTATCAGGAGCTTTAATGGGAAACAATAAAGCTCAGTAATCGCACTTTAATCGTCATTTTAATCATAAATAACGACTCTCAAGGCAAACTACTTCCCTTGATCTAAGAGAGAGAGACAAGGAAACCAAGGGCAATGGGCTTGTTGGTTGTTTTTAAAACTACCTCTCCATCTGAACCTGTTTAGTGGTGGGAGCAGAAGAGGTCAGACGGCAACATGAACGGCCAGCTGGACCTGAGCGGGAAGCTCATCATCAAAGCCCAGTTGGGCGACGACATCAGACGCATTCCTATCCATAACGAAGACATTACTTACGATGAGCTGGTGCTGATGATGCAACGTGTCTTTAGGGGAAAGCTGCAGAGTAATGACGAGGTTACCATCAAATACAAGGATGAAGGTGAGTCAGGACACAGGCTTTGTCCTAATTGGTTGTAAGGGTAAAAGTGTGAATTTTGTCAAGGAGATTTTCCCAGGCCAGCATATTTATTATAAACTAGTGTATAGTTTGATACCAGGTCATTTCACCATGTAATTCAAAAAAATGGAATAGAGTTGTTGTTTTGGGTAAAGATAATTTCCCTACAGTGAATCACATGGCCTTTCTTTTCCCTTTTGCTAGATGATGACCTCATCACCATCTTTGACAGCTCTGACCTCTCCTTTGCAATCCAGTGCAGTAGAATACTCAAATTGACTTTGTTTGGTAAGATATTAAAGCATTTCCTTTCTGTTGCCCCTTCATAGATATACACAGCCACACCTTGAGGAATCCAAGATGTTTGAAATCTTAAATCATGTGATACTGTCATGATAAACTGTGGACCATGATGTTTCACATCAGTTGTTACACCAAGCAGGCACTTGAGGGCAGTCCAGGTTACACAACAAACCCCAGCTCTTCTCTGTCCAAATGAAAGTTGTGTGCAATCCCTTCTGACTAATTTGTCAGTAAGTGTTTCTTAGTGCCAGTTCAGCAAGCAAACAAAGTGACAGGCAGTACATGTACTGTATGTATTAACATAAGCCATTTTGCCTGTTAAGCTAGTTCCTAATTTTATTCTTAAATATGTTCCAGTCCAGCTGAATCCTCAGTTAGTTCAATAGCTCTGTAGACCATTGAAGAATTAATTACACCTTCTAAACAACCAGTTAGCCTCACCCAAACGTATCAGGGTGTGACCTCTTTTTGTCAGTATTAACAACCTGTTTCACAATGGTTATTATTCAGTACCATAATGTCTAGTTGTATCAATATATGTTTTTAGTCAACGACTGTCGCATCCAATATTTCAACAATATTTAGGCTACTGTCATTTTTCACATCAAACTGGAGGGATTATAAATTATTACTTCTTACAAACTTTTAAGATGTATTAAGCCTAAAGAATATGGACTCTTTAACAATGTGATCTAGATTTGAAACTTTAAAATGGCTCAACCAAAGTTAGAAACACAATAACATGCACGTACTGACCTAACTCATGAATCTGTAATGACAACAGGATGTTGTTTCCTGTGCTTTGCTACTACTAGTAAGCATGTCCTGTAGTTACTACTTTTATTAATATGAGAACGGTGGGATTTTTCTTTTAAAAAAAAAAAAGTAAAATCTGAGTCCTGGCTTGTTATTACATGTCATGACCTCTGATATTCTCTGACGTGTCAAGATTCAAAGCCAGCGAGAGTAGCTGGAAGCCTTTCAGCGCAGTGCTTCATGACCTTCATGATCTCTGTTTAGCATTATTTGGTCAAACAGAGAAAGCTGTGAGAGAAGGGAATTGTCATATTCATACTTTAGCGATAGACATTTCACTCCTCCATTCAGTTATAGTGGGAAAATAAGAGTTGAAAGACGGTCGATTGTGGTGCAGGTCACATGGAGTTGGAGATAGTTTTCTTGTGTTTCCTGCAGATTGACAGTATAATAATGTACCCATTGGTTTGGGTGTTTATTTCATTAAGTAAGCACGACAAACTAGTGCCCTTTTGCCCAGCATTCCCTAGCTCCATTGTTAGTTAATTGCCTGGCTGGCAGAGTGTGACGATGAAGCTCTCAGTCCCTCTGTCAGCCTGGCTGCTATTGTGAATAGCTTTGTGGATTCAACCATGTGAAAAATGGTCTCTCTAATCTCAGATATTCAGAGTGTAGAGACAACAGAACTGGGTCAGATCATCATTCATAATGTACAAATACTTAGTGTAGAATTAACAGCTTTTCCAGACCAATTAATGGCAGCAACTACAGTATCCATTGTGTTTATTTTACACTAGCAGATGTTGATGTATAACACTGGGCTGTTCTGTTTATCTACTGGGCTGTTGACGCATTCCTGTATAGTCTGTCCCAGATATCCCTCTGAGCTTGTAACTATAACTCGGCTCTAGTCCATGATCTGTGTCAATGAGCAGTTCAAAACAATGCTGACCCAAGTGGGAGATTTAAATAATGAGATCCAGATTCAGTAATGTACAAAAATATTCCATTCATAAATGTGTGGACTTGGGAATTATTGTCTTTTGTATAAGTGATCAGGAGTCAAAATGGAGTCAGCTGAGCAGTGATGGAGAAGTATTTGAATTAGTTCAGTTACATTCCCTAGACAAATAAAAAAAGTTTTGTTCAATTTGCTCACTTGTGGTTTCTCTCTCGTCATCTCTCATTATCTACAGTGAATGGTCAGCCGCGGCCTTTGGAGTCTAGTCAGGTGAAGTACCTGCGCAGGGAGCTCATTGAGCTCAGAAATAAAGTCAACAACCTCCTGGATAGCCTGGAGCCCCCTACAGATCCTGGTCTTGCTGCCACAGCACTGGACAGTGGTAAGCACCCCTCACACACACACATCAGATGCACACACATACATGTTAGAGCTAGACCACCCGATATTAGCTTATTATATCTGGATCAGTGTATGTGTTAGCCAAAGTTTGACGTAGTTGATAAACAGTGTTACCATTGCATAGTTTGTCCACCAGAGGGCCCTGATAAGGTGATTTTTCTGTAAATGATACTGTAAATGTCAAGAAAAAGTCTGTTATGTGAGTAAGTTATGTGCTTATGTTAAAAGAAATTAGCCAGCCAGACAACTCCAATGTTATGTATGTGTTTCAAAGCAAAGTCACAAACTGCCTTACAGTAAAAGAAAACAATTAAAAGTAAATAAAACTAAAGATATTAAACAAGTAGTGGAATATGTTCACACACAAACACCCACTGCAGGTGTCTTGATTTCTCTTTTTAGAAGCCTCAGTTTCTTAATGCCACTGATCGAGATTGCACAGCCTCCTTAACAAATAACACTTGTTTATATTCCACATGCTCACTGCCAGAATTGCAAGATCTATCCCACGGGAGCACTGGCACCAGATTGAGACACTTTAAGGGTCAGCCATTGCTGGAATAATTAAATATGATGATATGAACTATATGATTTTATAGATTTTAATATTTGTTTGGAATTTGAAGCTTTAATTATGTACTGCATACATACTGGTTCAGTCCCATTTGATCGTGGTCACTCACACCCACACACAAACACACATCCCCAGCTTAAAGACTAGGCCAAAGCATTTACGCGAGGAACATGTGCAGTCATATTACAGTATGGTAGTAGGCCACTTTAGGCTGTAATTCTCTGTGAGCTGTAACTTTATGCATTTGAAATCTGGCACCATGATGAGACAAAGAGGTGGATTTGTTTTACCAATCAAATGATGGAGTATAATAAAAGTATAAGGTCTTTTATGAGGCTTTGGCAACATTCAACACTCAATCCCTCGTACTCCATGTTTGTTTTAATGATGTAATAACAAATCGTCAACTCAGACTATATCAAAATGTTGCATACATGTATTGCATTATTGCCACATTTCGTCTTCATCTCTGCTGGTTGTTAAAAATTTCTTTGGCCGTGTATCCAGAATCAGTGGATGGACGTGAAGGCAAAGTGATGGCTGCAGATCACACAGTGAAACTGGCCACACCAGTCAGCGCAGCCAGCATGTCTGCCTTCGACCCGCTAAAAAACCAGGACGAGGTCAGCAAGAATGTCATCTCCGCTTTTGGTCTGAGTGAGGACCAGGCCCCAGGTACTGCACACTATTCAACTCCAAAAAAGTAGAAGAGCCTACTTATAAGTGTTTGTTATGTTTAAGTGTATATCTGTCATCTCCACTGTATGTCTGTCTCCCTCTGTGCCGTCTGAGTAGCTCCTCCAGCAGTCGCACCAGAGGAGCGCTCAGGAACCCCTGACAGCATTGCCTCCTCCTCGTCCGCAGCCCCTCAGCCAGGAGTGCCCCCCCAGCCACAGGCTCCATATCCTGGAGTACAGCAGGGACCCCCAGCTGGCATGGATGGTGAGACACATGCACACACAGCAACTGTATCCCCAGGAAAACCCAAATGCACACATGCCTTATTTAATACAACATACACACACATTCTCTAACGCAGGTAGGTGTCTGTGTTAGAAATGATACACAATGGGATCATGTGGAGAGCATGCATTGTGGGTGATCAAGCAATTACACACTACCACCAACGTCGCCTCATAAAAATGTCACCCCCTGTTGAACAAAGTTGAATGTGTTGCCCTAAACTACCAATCCAAGCTCTTTTTTTTCCAATGAGTAGTTCTGCATGGGATCTTATTAACCTGAGGTAGGAAGCTATATAGATTCAGTTTACTGCATGTACTATTCCTTGTTTTGGGGAATCAGATCCACTCTGCTGTTAGAGCAGCAAGTTTCATTGAATGATAAATGATCCTTGAGTCTCACCACTGTGGAATCTTACTGAACACTGTGTAAACAAGAGTTTTCATTGAATTAGGGTTTATCTTACACAGCAGAGACCTTATCACAGCTCTGAGTGTGTGTGAGACCTTTAACACGCTCATGTTGGACCCAAACCCAAGGCCTAGATGAAGATAAATGAACAAAGGATCAGGCAGTCTGTAGGGAACAACAAACAAGACTTGTTTTACTTCATTCTCTCAGCACATTCCTAGAGCTGCACGATTTGGTGAAAAAGTCATATTGCGATTATTGTGGACAATATTGTGATTTGCGATTCGATTATAATGGAACAAATGGTACTATGAGTCTACTTGCTTGATTATCAAGGAAAATGCACAAAATACTGACATTTCGAAATGTGTATTTCTCAACATGAAACAAATTAAACAATAAACAATATTTATAACAATAACTAGTAAAACAGATGTAAAACAGAACAAGGGGAACCATGTTGCTCTACGGAGGAGGCAGCTAGAAGGAGCAAATATTGGCACACTGCCACCGGCTCGTTGTACATCTGTCCACTGCAGAGTCTCTATCCACAACCTGGAGGAGAAACTGTACAAGAGTCTATTAAATAAAGAGTATAATGTTCAGTTAATAGTATACTGTTAGTCTAAAAATAATGTATTAAATACTACATTCATTATAATTTCATATAAATATGTACTTTTCTTTACCACTAGTTGAATATTAAATCCATTGTTTTTATTCATTAAATCCTTGTGCAAGCAAAAGGCTCTACACTGCTCTAATTTGTTAATGCTAAGTACTAACTTAACCTAATGTCCGGAGCATCAGTGATATCGGTGAGGTGCTTACGCAGAGCCCAAAGGATACTAAAGGACAGTGCCCACCCAGCCACAGCCTGGTCACCCTGCTGCCTTCTGGGAAGAGATATAGGAGTTTCTGCTGCCACACCACCAGACTGCAGAGCAGCTTTTTCCCCCCAAGCTATCAGACTCTTAAACTCTAATTCATCCTCAGCACTGCTCCAGTGATGACAGTTTATTTCTGTTACCATTTTTCATAATTGATTCTTTATTAATTTATATTGTCTGCTGTGTAGCAGAAGGGAGTTACAAAACTCAATTTCACTCTACAACTTGTTGTATTGTGACAATAAACCTACCTATCTACTTAACTTGTCAATAATCATATTGTTCAAAATTTAATGATTTGCTGTAGCCCGTCAAACTGTTTTTAATGTCCCACCCCATCCAGGCTGTGATTGGTCGGTTGACGAAACGTGACTGACAAGCACGTCGGCTCTGTGAAAATTTAAACATGTTGAACAACTAAAGGCACCGATACAGCTAACGTTAAATGGTCTGCTAGCTAAACCCAAATCTTCCTTATATTCTCCCAGTTTTCTTCTGTCTTAACTGCTTCAGCTGTAGACGTCTCTCTGTTTCTGTCACAGAGCGACTGGAGCACCGGCCTTTCTCTCGATGCTCTGGTGGCGAGTCCGACTATGTTTTGAACAATTAGCGGTGGGGTGGGGGTAGGTTGTTGTCTTAAAAGTTACTGGCACACTGCTCATAAATCATTTTGCTCATTGCGTGTAGGCTTATCTGTTTGTAGAGCCACATGCGAGAGCCCGGTGTGGGCAGAGATAATGAGCAGACTGCAGTGCACAGAGAGGAGTGTGTCACACACACTTTATCTGTTTTACTAAATTGCACACTTTTTGCGGTTATGTAATCTCAAATGACGACATTGCGATTAGATTAATCGTGCAGCCCTACACAGTACCTCTCTGGAATCCAATTCAAGGGGAGAGGTGGTCTTCTGTGCCAATCACAAATGTCCGTTTCCTTCATTGAAGTAGCTCACTTAACATCGGGGAATTCTGTGGCTTGTTTGTCCTTATGTTGTGAAAAAAGGCCCAGGCGGGTGATGTCACAGAAGTGGAGCATATTGTGGTGTTAATCACATTGCTAGAAGTGGATTGGATTGTTTTCAGCTTGTGGTTTGGCTTAGCTGAAGGAGAAGACCACTGGAGCAAAAGACATGCCTTTTGTTGCACCCTGTGAAAGCAGTTAACTTGCTCCCAGAACAGTCACACTGCCGACTCCCGACCACACCTGCAACCATGAAGAACAGCACACGTGTGGAAAGACCACTTCCATTTTACTGGTGGTTTGTGGTTTGGCCTGGTTGGAATTGCAGGGACTTACCATTAGGGCTCAATAACAGTTTAGTTGATCCAGAAGGAAGACTTATTCAGTCTCTGGGTCAGCCAGAGACACACCATGTTGCACACAAACAGCCAGCTCAACTGCAAGCTTGTTTGTGGTCTGTTCCTTCAATAACATGAGGACTAGGAGCAACAACAGACTTTCTTGTCTTAAGAGGAACTTGTTCTTGCTGATTTGATGTTTGGTGACTGACTTTGGTTTCCAGACTTTAGGTCTTCAAATATGGTGACGCATGGATGCTATCATGGATGTCTGATAATCCCTCCAAGATCTGTATGGATACAAAAAGGGGCCGCCTTTCTAAGCTTACTGAAAGGATTGAAAGGACATGTTTGTTATTGTTGAGTAATGGTTTCAAGTTGCTCATTTTGTATCAACATTATAGTTGATGGTTGTGTAGCCAGGGTTCAACATCATCATTTGACTAGATTTCTGGGAGAAATCTACAAAGTAAATTTTTACTTGCCTCAATACAAATAGTTTTTATTTATTTATCACAATAAAAAAATTCAAATAATTTGATATTGATAATTATCACGATAAATGTCAAACCATTATTTCTTTCAAGTTTAAAGGCTGATTTTTGCGTGAAAGTTAAAGGAACCAGATTGTTAATTGGGGTTTTAAACTCTCTTTTATGGTCAGAACAAACACTTGATGCCAAACAGTGGATCACTTCACATATCTGAGGTAGAACATTAAAAAACAGTTATGTTTTCACTCCTTTTTCCTCAACAAAGTAAATATCTTAATTGGTTGGCTTAATTAAGTGCTAATTCATTCATGATTCAAATGAATTAAATGAAACATTTATTGAAGATTTGGTTTATTGTTATTGGGGAAAATTATATCAATTATCATTATTGTATTTTTGCCCAGCCTTAATTTGGAACAAGACAGGTGGTGTGATGAAGGATACTAGAGCTCATCTGACAGGGTTGTGGGGGTCCGTCAAACAAAAAGAGTTGGGACCCATCCATCTGGATGTAGGCGGCCAGATGTGAGGTATTAAATAGACTTATCGCCCATTAATGTAGGACTGAGACTCAACTGAAGCCCCTGTGTGAGCAAGCATTAACGCAACGCAGCAAGCCTGCAAGTTTTCTTCACCCGTAGCTGTGAAGGGAGACGAGTAAGGATCATTTCTGTAAAGTGTCGTCATTATACACATTGAAAGCTCTTGCTAGATACCGTCTTGTAGCAGGTTGTTAGATGCATCTCCAAGCCCAACGTGGCAACGAACAGATCATCCTCACCTTATCCATTTCTTACAGTCTCCTCCCAATTTTTTTCATTTAATTTTTTTTCTTCCAAGGCTGCAGATGGTTGGCACACAAAGACATCAAACCTAGATCCTGTCCAGCCTCCTCTTCCACTTGATCCATTCCTCATGCTTTGTCCTTACATTATTCCTGTCTCTGGTCGCAGACTGTTTTCAGTATGACAGCCTCAAGGCAACTCGCAACAGCCAGTCGATGCATGAGAATTTATAACCGAGAATGTGTGGCCTTTTAAAGCTAGCCTTAAGCTCACTTTTAATGCAAGCTTAGGTTACTTGTTACCGTAAGAATGCTGCTAACAAGATCCATAAGAAGACAATAAAGAACTCAACCTGTTGTATGTCAGATGCTGATAGACCCATGGCAATAATTTACATCTGTGCAAACTGTAAACACGTGTACACAGCGGCTCTGACTTTTGTGTGAGGCTCTTTATCAGATGGGCAGACATCTGTTTGGTGTGAAATGTTTATTTAAAAATATGACCTTGTTCTCATGACTCCTCGTTGAGGCATGCTTAGAGGTCAGCAGAACTACAGCCAAATGCTTCTTTGTTTCAGTGAACATCATTTTCCCAACTTGGGAGTTTTCTCTTGAAGCAAGGCGGCTCTGTCTTCAGTGAGCCTCTAGCCATTTCTTTATCCTGTGAGCACTTAGCAGCCTCATAGCTGACCTCTTGGCGACACTGGAGGAAGATGAACTCCCATAGGCCAAAGGGGTCTAACTGCCACGCATCCTTCCATCACGCTTACACAACGCTCATGATGGATCACAGACAAAGGGGAAACGGTGGAGGAAGCCAATTTAACACACATGCCTTCTCACACAATAAAGACCATGGTGTTCATGTAAAAGGTGCTGTCAGTGAGATAACAGATGGTTGCCACATCACTTCAGTGCTTTTAAAAAGACACTAAAGAGGTACACTGTTTCTAGCTAAATATTTAGTTGTCAAGTGTCTCCCAGGCTAGTGCAAAGTAAGGAATTTGTACTGTGTGTAGTGTATGTGCTACTTTGAATGTTATGAATTATTGTATACAAGATGAGTTACTTCTGAGTGCTTTGACGTTGTCTTACAGAATAAGTCCATAGTCTCTCTTTCAGGTTTGCTTTATTCAGACTCGCAAAACCTGTCACAATATCAGCCCTCCCAAAGAGTGGAAAATCAGCACCAGGTTCACCAGCGCTCCAAAACCCAGTGAGCTCTGGTGCGGCCCTCTTTCATTATGCCTTCTCCCTTTGTGCTTTTCATGTGTCGTCACACCAGTTTCTATGCCAGGCAGGAGATTTGGGAGTAAGATTTAGGCCTCATTAAGGGAGAACAGTAGATTGCCAAGCCCTTTGCATGTTTGCTCAACCCTCAAGCTTTCAATGGAAAACCTGATGAGCAAATTTAAAATAACAAGGGGAAAAAGTTCTGCATGTTTCTGAAACATAAAAAAGATGTGCAACGGAATCACTGTCAAGGATATTTCTGCTACATGCAGTTTGATGCTCCAGTCTTATTTGGATATTCAGAGGCCTTTTAAAGAATACAGTTTAAGGCACATCGTTGAGATGACCGGAGTTGTACAGATAATGGTGAACGTCCTGCACATGTGCATGAACACAGACTGGTGAAGTCATACTTAATTTTAAAAAAAAAAGTGCTACAGGAAATCACTGTCTGCAAACATAGACACGTCTGGTGCAGAGGACAACTCCTCGTTCCGATGCAGGGAAATTTTCCTGAGTCATTAATGTCTGTGGCTATAGTATCTGGATAGTGGATGCATTATGTCAGCCTCAGTTTTGAATGACTGCATTCTTTACTTTGTGTGTTTATGTCTACTTGGGCACCTGCATGCTGCTCTGTAGCTCAGAGCCAATTCTTACTGTAATGTGCCACAGACAGATGTCTGGGTACTGGGCTTTTAGCAACAAATACTTGTACCAAAATGGTTGCAGCTGTACTTGAAGCAGTTATTCTGTCCATATGCACAGGTGTTTCCATGAAGATACAGATACCCCATTTATACTTATTTACTTAATGTATCTATCTGAACTAAAAGCTGTGTGTAAATGCAACCACAAAGCATTCAAGATGAATTTGCCAACCGATTGCATTCTAACCATTTGTTAAAAAGGTGTAAATGTGTCTCTCTCCAAGACACATACGTAATCTTTATTCCTCCTGTAGATATGTCATGATCGGCCCCTCCGTGATAATGGCAGCTACAGTTACACTGCAATTACACTAAAATTATTGGTTGAAAAGCTGCTTGAAATTTCAACACATACAATCAAACAGAAGGCTCTGTAGTGGGTAGTATTTAGCCAGCTATCTGTTATTACCAGCTATTAATTGTTGTAGCTAAATTTCTTAAATGTAGAAGTTCTTCTGGCATTTTTGGCATTTACAAAACAGTTTCATAGGTAGGAGTAGGACTGACACGGACTTGCATGTAGCCCAGATGTCTGCCAACAGAAACACACGTATATAGTTAAGTGTAAATGAATGTGCATTTAATCGCATCTGGATTTACGATAAGAGACGTCGAAAGAGTTAATAGATCATAATTCTTAATAATTCTTGCCCCTGTCATTTCAGGTCAGGTGTACCAGCAGTACCAGGCTCCAGGTGGATACCCGCCTCAGCAACCAGGTGCCCCACCACAGCAGCAGTACGGTATGCAATATTCTGGTAAGAGTAAAAATGGTCAGGATTTAAAAAGAAAAAAGGTAACTGCTGTGCTGTCACGTGAGGTGGTTTTCTTGCCTCTCTAGAGGGAAGTAAAGAGGCTCCCTTCTTCCCTTTCTCGGCAGGATACAGCACTCAGCCTGGAGCCCCTCAGCCTGGCCCACCACAGCAGCAGCCGCAGCAGCAGTTTCAGAACTACGCACCTCCTGCCTCCCAGGCTCCGGCCCCCGTTCCGGCTCCAGGGTTTCAAGGGGGCCAGCAGCAGCAGCAGCAGCAGCAGCAGCCCCATCCATCCCAGGGCGCCCAGCAGTATCCACCAGGAGCCTTCCCTCCCCAAAACTATACCTCCCAGGCCACCCAGCCTGCCAACTACAGCCTGCCACCCAGCTCCCAGCCTGCCTCAGGGTACCAACCGCGCCCAGGATACACCCCGCCTCCAGGCAACACCGTCACCCCTCCACCAGGAGCTGCTAACCCATACGCCCGCAACCGCCCCCCTTATGGCCAGGGCTACACTCAACCAGGTCCTGGATACCGGTAAAAGAGGATAGCGGATGTTACTGATCCTCACACACACCCTAAACCCCCTACAATATATGTGGTTCCAGCTGTTTGGAGTGGGCGCAGGAAATATGGTTTACTGCTCTACGCCCCTCACCCACCACCCTCGTCCAAATATAAAACAAGCAACTCTCCAAGTCTGATGGTTTGTGTTTGTATGCTGTCAATCCAACATGCCACTCTGTTCTGACCCTGGTGTATGTCTCTTGTGTTATTTTCCCCCTCTTCTCCTGTCACCAACACTTCACCCTATTGTATCTGTCATTGTAAAAATGTAGCCAGTCTGTATGCACGCACCTGGGAAACCAAAACAGGCTGTTGCACAAACTGTTCTTTACATGGTAACATTTCATTTTGCGCGCAAGATCAGCATCCACATTTGGAATTTTTCATACGTAACAATGACAAAACATCTCAACAAGTTGTGTTGAGTTTATCGTGTATAGATGCATTTACAAGGCACAGATCTAAATGAAAAGTTACCCCTTTGTCTGTTTTTTCCTTTTATTTGATTAATTTCACCACCATGTCGGTATTAATGATATGTCAATGAAACTGCCCCATGTTGGGAACACTAGCTAATTGATGGCTTGTGGGAGGTGTAGATCCCATAGTCATAAGGAAGGTTTCTTTCATTTAGCTTATATCACATCCAGTAGAAGCTTGCTATTCCTGTCTTTCTCCTTATCTTATCACTGGTTTTTACTAATAAATTAAAATTCCACCTTCAAGTGAGATTAGTCGTTTATGTATAAACTGTAACATTTTTTTTCTTGAACCTAATAAATGATTGAGACCCAGTTGGAGTCCTTTTTTATCTTTGTTTTGATAATGTGTTGGTCCCACGTTGCCTTGCACTCTCTCTCTGTGGCTTCTGAGTTCATGTCTCTTGTTAAGTTTGGCCTCTCGTCTCCCCCACCCAGATTTGGAAAACTGTGGTAATGCTGGTATTCCTATTTTGTTCTCCTGCCTGTGGGTTGTGGTTGGCTGGGACTTGTGGCATGGGGGAGTATGTGGTTAAACTTTCATGTCAAACTGTCTCACTAAGTGAGAAGAATTGAACGCACAGGGTTTATTTAAGATAATTTGATAAAGTATGTTTAACCTTAGCTGTGCCAAACTGAAATTGATCTTTTTTGGTGTACAATCTTTATAAGGTTTGCGCAATGTTAGGAATTTATTAAATCGGGGGATCTACCTCTGGAGTTGAGTTACACCCCAATGTCCTTCATCATCTGATTCAGATCAGAAACACAATGCCGGTGATGGATCATCCCTTCAAGAAGAGGCTTGATATTTGGGGTTAACATGCCTATTAGCTTTTTTGGAGAGAGAGACAGACACCACGCTTACGTTCCAGTGCTTAGTATGAGGCATCAACTGCCACCAACTTAGCTTAGCACAAAGACGGGGAACAGGCAGAAATGGTTAGCCTGGCTCTGTCCAAAGGAAACAAAATCCTATAAAACTCAAATTAAGATGTTACATCATGTTCGTTTAATCTGTACAAAAACAGACGGGCGGGCGGTTGTCCTTAGTTTTATGCTGGTTTGGCACACCCTCTGTAAAATTGAGAATTGTTATTTACACTCCGGGTTTTGAACAGTTTATTTGTGGATTAATGAAAACAAGATAAAACTTGTTAATTAGTGAGCTTTAGAGGTGCTGGTAGAGGCATTTTGTTGACGGAGCCAAACTGTCCCAGTCTTTGTGCTAAGTTAAGTTAGCCAGATGCTATTTTCCAAACAGACATGAGAATGCACATCAATCGTCTCATCTAACTTGAGTCAAGAAAGCTAATAAGCGTGAGAGATTTCCCACAGTGTACAACTTTTAACCTTTAACATAGAAGGCATTGAAGTCAAATGGAAATGTATATCAGTACATATAAAAACAAGATTTATTGCTGAAAACATACATGGTGCATCAAAAACGACTGCAGTCATGACATAAAAACCTGGTAATTCCTCTTCAATGATGTATAGCTTTATGTACAATTTGAAGTAAGTTTGAACACAAACATAAATTATGTCACTTGCTCAACATTGAATTTCAGTTTATCTATAAATGTTTATATATATTCTATGATTTTATAAAATAGACTGCACAAGTGTTAAAAATACATAAGTCTTTTGTATCCAAGTGACCCCATAGTAACTTTGGGCAATAGATCAATTTGTCTAAAGATGTTTTATCTTTTTCCTGAATTGTATCAAACTATATGATCCCTGGTATACAAAATGTATTTCACACCATATACATATATTAACAAAAGTTTAATACTGTGCAAACTGCAACTGCTAATAATCCCTTAGGGCCAGCAGAAGGTCAATTCTGCATGTCTGTGTGTACTTGCATTTTACATCGTCCAAATGTACAATGAAAGTATGATTGGCACCTTTCTGTACACAAATGACCAATGTGTGTTCTCACTGACGTGGAAGTATTGGGAACAATTTTTACTTTCTCATCTCAAAAGCACATGCACACACAGAATTTCCAAAAACAATCCCCTTGATAAATAATATCATACAAGTTATTACAATTTGGGAGCCAGCTTCCCAACATTTTCTCTGTGATTACTGTATATTCAACATTTTGGTTCACTCAAACTCCTGCATTCTTTCGTCCGTCATGACATTGATAAATACAGAAATTAAGACCAACATTACAAATGCACTCAATAGAGTTTCATGACACCTAATAGTCCTGTACAGGTTCACACCTGGAAGAGTAGGCTGAGCTCAGACAGACAGACCCATCTCTGGTGTCCATGGTAACATGAAAGAAAGGCCCACCTCCCTTCAGGCATAGTCAGGCGTCTTCTTCCTCACCACCCAGGAAGTCATCCTTCCTCTATAGCCCCGTGGGGGTCTTACCACTTCCCAGGTATGGGCGTGCCACACTCGTACCAGCCTACATAGGTAATGTGTGACTTCCCCCCAATCTCTCCAAAGCTGACAGGTTCCTGTCTCAACGCTCTATAAAACCCTGGTACAAAGACACAGAGGAGTGATAAGAGTCTACATAATTATAACATGTACATATTAAAGTGATCGGTCTGTGGTTATGGCTACCCAAAATACCTAGCCTGCTTTGTAGCTGGTCAGCAAACATCTGGGTACCGGTTCGTCCATCCAGGAAGGAGTCCACAAATTGACAATGATCCTCACCATGCCCCGTCTGATCTCCAATGTTGTAGAACTTCCCTACAGAGAGGACAGAGGAAGTATGTTTTTGGCTGTGATAAATAAATCCGACCACATTATCAATCTAAGAAATGGAACTGGCCAGAAAATGGTTGTGCTGTGTTAAAAAGACACAGTCCAGCTTATTTTTCCTCAGGAAACATTAAGTCCCTTCTTTATCTGAGTTCTGTTTCATGCTGTTGATGTGGATTGATTTAACAGCACTACTACCAATTGCTTTTCTAATTAGTTTGACTAATAACAAATTTGTCCATTAGCAGTCTCAAAAGTATATTTAAGGGACAGGTATAAGATGCCGAGATGCTCTGCAGAATGTTTTTTAGAAGGTTTTGTGCGCACAGCTAGGAAACCTTTGACGGATGTCATACTTGTTTCTTTAGATAGATAGATTAGATAGACAGACAGAACAAAGAAGAAATGCTCACTAACACATATTTTGACAGATTTTTTTGGCCTTTTGTGTAAATAGAGAAAGTCTTTATGTATGTGTGTGTATATATATATTAATATATATTTAATATAATCAGTCTGTATTTACCAGTGAGAGAGTCGCTCAGGTAGATCTTGTATCTCAGGGAGTTGCAGAGCTGAATGCCCACAAACTTTCGGTACCAAGTTCTCTTCACGTACTGCTTTCCATTGCATTCAGAGTAGGCATCGGATTTAAATGGGAACTGAGTCCAGATGGCATCTTTGCCTGTGAGGAAATCAGTAGAAGCAAAGACTTAGTATAATGTTTGTTATCTGTATTAACAGGATTCAAACCAAGTAAAGGTTAAACATTTTTTAAAAGCTTTATTTTACTGGAACATACTGATAAGAAGAGAAAAAAGACAACATTCACCTGAAACATGTTCACTCACTCGTGGATCCGCTGCAAACGTGAGAAAAAGTCGTAATGAATAAAACTTGTACCAGAGCCCATTTGGCATAGTATTCACAATGTTCAGTCCCAACAAGCTGGGCTTTGATTGCACAAGGGCAGGAGGCCAATTAAGCAAAGCAGTTACTGTGAGTTTAAAAACATAACATTTGATCAACACAGGGCTGTACTTCAGCTGCTTTACAATTGGTGCAAATTTGGCTTTGTTCAGAGCGTTACAATGGATGCTATGCCTCCGTTAGCCTCGCAGTACATCTGGTGAGCCTCTTGAGTCCTAATCAGACAGATCCCAGTGCCATGTTAAAATCATTAGACTAACAACTGCCTAATAGCCCACCTTCAGAGATTCAAAGAAATGCTAATCACTGTCTGATAATTAGCAAGGTATACAGTGGCATCAACATGTAACTAATTAGTGTCTTCTCTGAGAGCAAACACATCAGGATTCATTTTCCTCTAGTATGACTTTAGTGGATTAGATGGTTTGTAAAACTTGCCTGATTCTGTGCTAAAAGACACAGGATCACTGGAGGGTCCGGTTCCCAGCTCATTCTTTGGTGTTACTTTGAATTCATACCTGAAATTAAATAGAAAAAAGGGAATAAAAGTCATAATCCAAACTTTAGGACCCCCCCCCCCCCACCCCCCCCACCCACACACACACACACACACACACACACACACAAAGCTGATGGTTATTCCACGTGCTGCGTTCAGATGTTCTGGCAACAACTGGGCCAGCAAACCAAGCCCAGGGGAGATTTCTGGTAAGTTTTGAGTTTTGAGACTCCAGATGCTGAGATCTAATTAAAAAACTCTGTGAACGTCTCCACCCAGATTTCCTCAGCTTGTGTGTCACTTGGGCCATTTTGTGTGAGCAAAACCAAACCCTTGCAGCATGCTTCTGCAAAGGTAGAAGTAAATCTAATACCTTTAAAAGTAGCACACTAATAGCTTTCTTGATTAGATCTACAGTGACCAAAGTGTCACCAAAATGCACTGTGTGTCTAATAAACATGATGAATGCATTTCTTTCCTCATAAAACATAACTTAAGTTTGAAACCTGCGTTGTGTACATAAATGTTTACTAGCAAGAAGTCTTGTTCTGAACTGCCTTTGTTGGCACATTAGTGTCTTTCTTGACGTTTTACAGCATCTATCCCTTCGCGTCGACTCTAACCCTGATCCCCTAACCCTAACACCAAATTACAGTGTGCACAATGACCTAGCTAATTTACGGTTTTTTAAAGATAATTTACATGCTTACAGGTCAATGGCACCATGAAATATTTTTTTGTTTTTTTTTGTTTTTTTAGATATTGCTCACCATCACCCTCAGTCTTGACAGCATGCCCGACAGCATAGGCCGTGGAAACAGAAACCAAGATTGTGGGTCATGCGCAGGCACAGAATCGCTAAGTAGTACATCTTGACAGATGTTATAAATCAACAGAACAAGTGGAATAGAGCACTGACTGTGCATAAAGAGGGACAACGTGACAGCTCCTCAGAAGTGAAGCCAAAACATCTGTATCGCCCCCTGGCTTGGACATGGGCCAAACTAAAAAATCAAAGTACACATCAAATAATTTGTTCCTAAAAGTGGTTTATGTCATTGTAAGTATGTTCAAGGTTTTCTGACAAGTTTGGTGAATAATTGATGGTATAAAAGGGGGTTTCACATAATAATAGACAGCTGAGTCCTGCTCGTGACTGAGTCGGCTGGGTGTATGTGCAGGACCTCGATACCGCTGATCAGTACTGCACAGCCTCTGGCTCCCAATGATGTCACCAGCGCAAGATGGCAGCACCCGTTTCTGGGATGTTTTTGGCTTCATTTTTGTACAGCGGGAAGAAGGAGACACATGGTCCATCTTTATACACAGTGTATGGCTGTCCTCATGTCAAAATCTCCAAAGGGGACCTTTAAGCAAACAGTTAATGTGGAAAACCTTATGGCAGTGAAAACCTAGTGGTTAGAATATAGTGGCAGAAAATGTTAAGGCATTCCCATTTGTTCCATTTTCCCATGACTGATTATGATCTGAACACAATGTCTGAGTCACATACCTGCTCTCTGGTTTGAGATTCTCCACAGCTGTGTGTGTCTGGTTGGTCGTCAGTACGGACACTTCTTCTCCATTTGGTCCTTTAGCGGTGGATACAACTTCATACTCTGACAAAAGAGCCCGAACAGCAGTGTGCTTTTAATAACACAAATTTCACATTTCAACTTTCAACTTCTTTGATGACAGAGATGTAAGAACTTCAGGCAGAATGTGAGGTTTGGGGTTAATTTACCTCTTACCACTTTCTAATAATGGTATAAAGGGTTTATATGTTAGCTTTACTAATGGTTAAGAAATAATTGATATATAGATATTATAGATATATAGATATAGATAATAGAATTAATTAAGTTGTTAAGGATAAATTTTGGCTCTTTTCCAGAAGGGTACATGATCAGATGCAAAATTGTAGGGGTTTTTTTGGTTCCTTAAAGGTATAGATAAAAAAAAGAGTGATTTTTTTTAATTGTTCTGAAAGAACGAACCTTGCACTGTCGATATAAGTTTATTTATTAATCTATAAAGCTAGCTTATTAACCACAAGTTAGACCTAGTTATAACCCTTAGTTGTATTTAGTTAATTACAACACCTTGTCAAGTATGGCTTAGAAGAAAGTGGTTCTGTACAACTTGATGAATGGAGACACAGCATGACCTGAGTGGGGATGGAGTTCTTGTCCATGGAAGTACTCATTTTACTGAACAAAACTTGATTGGAAAGCAAGTATAATGGGGTCCAAGCACCCCAGCGCAATTCGGAGCCGGAGGCTCATTGACCTAAGGCAACTGGGACCGAGAGCATCGCAGAAAAAGCCTAAACTCCCCATTTCTGTCATTCTTAAAAATTGTCCTTACCTTTGGTTTCATTGTCAGATTTCTGCCAGTCAAGAATGACAAAAGACGGGCAGCCCTCCACAGTAACCACAGTGAGGTTAGAGGGAGGTATGCGGGGAGGACCAGTCACATTCTGATCGCTGCCCTCCTCATCAGGGAAGTAAGCAAGGGAGGAGGTGATAGAGCATGGCTCATCTGGCTTCTTGTCCGTCTTGTAGATCACATGGGGAGCTGTAGACCGTGTACAATAAAAACAACAGTTGTTCATTTATGCATGCTGCCCACTCTGATGATTTCACTGATGAAGCATTTAAATCTGCAGAGGCCCTGATGAAGTCTTACCTACAAAGCGCTTCTTGCCCATGATGTCTACCTCTGATGCAGGCAAGGGCCTGAATATGGAGGAGTTTTCATTTAAGTCAAAACGACTGCCTGAAAAGGAAACTGGAGAGAGGAGTTGGGGTTAGTTTGATGTGCCAGCAGTCCATGGCAGCTCTCGCTGTCCTCATTTTTACAGCTCTGGCCCAGGTCACCGACCAGCCAGCCCAACACCTGCTCTGGCCTGTACTCCGCCTCTTTGTCTGCCTCTTAATATTCAAATATTCTCCTTTCTTTCTTACTACAACAACTACTACTACTACTACTACTACACACACCTGTGAGCTGCATCACCAATATCTCCTGATTGTTATCACATGCATGCCCTGACTCAAAGTAAAAAAGCTTTTTCAATCACATATTTTAATCACATTTATGGAGATACTTAATCATGGCTGCAGGTATGAATGCAGTTATGATAATGACTCATACTTTTCCACCTAAGATACATTAAAGGTTGTGTTACTTATACTGTTTAATGCCGGGGCGGAGGTGGTTGTCTGCTGTCGGCGCTCCTGCTTTGGCTTGGCAGTGACCAGAGGGAATGGCCTCAAGATGGACTCCTTGTCTTCTTGTTTCCGGTCAATGGGTTTATCTAAGGACAGAGAGCAGAAGGGGAAGGAGAGATCACCCTCATCATCTGACTCACAGTCATCCACAGTTGTGCTCCATCTGCTCTGGCCATCCACACTGAGCAACTCAGTGGCCTTTTCCTGGCTGCTGAAAGATCAGAGATTGTTTGTTGAGTAATATCTCTTGTGCTCTTTAAAGGGGAAAAAGGTCTGCCAGAATCTGCTGAGACCGAGGCTGGCCCGATGCTCAGAACCATGCACTTACTCACACACAGGCTTTGTGCACAAAAGTAGACTTATGTGGAGATAGAGAGGAGAGAGAGATTGAAACAAGCGGCAGAAAGAACAGTTTGAATCCCAGAAAACCCCCAAAAAAGCCTTAGTAACAAGACCGCTGAGATGAGCTGTAAAATTAAAATTAATGCGGATATGTTCATTAGTAAACGCTGTACACATTTCATTGCAAGTTATTTTGGGAGTTGTAAGCATTTTTTTATTTGCAGAAGATAGCTTAAGGCAGTGGTTCTCAAATTATAATGGAAGGTGTAGAGGCATTGCAGCCAAGACTTACTTGACCTTGTGATAATATGTGAAGTGGAGCTAAAGCTGAATAAATTGGATTCATGTGGGACTAATAAATAGACAAGAGTGCTTTCACGCTAGCAAGGTTTTAAGCTTCATTTACACAACAAAACAACATGTAAAATACAAGATGGACAGGTTTTTACCTTGGAAGAAGTCATGAAAACACAAACAAAGCTTTTTGTTTCAAGTTCACTGTCAGTGTAAGGAAGGTTTAAAGGAATAGTTCAACATTCTAGGACCTCAGATTAGATTGATACCACCCTCAAGTCTAATAACATTATGGCTTGTATACTATATAATGATAATATGGTAAATGGCTGACAACAATTAAATTGGTTTAGAGTGGGTTGGAGGCATGACATATTTTCTGCATCTAAAAGGAGGGTATGAAAGAACACTTTGAGAACAACTGGCTTAAGAAGCAGCTTAAGTCAAGCCTTTCCCTAGGCTTGGTCTTGTGTGTATAATTACAGTAGACAGGACAAGATGCAGCAGTGCTCAGTGATGTGGCCATTACTGTTGCCCTCACCATGGTCATGTGGTTTCCCCACCGCGTTGGGTCTCTTGGCAGGGACAGTGTCATACAGGACTGCAGGAAGTTGTGGGAAACAAGAGTCCATTTCAGATTAAGAATCATGGAACAGATGGTCGGCACAGAAGAAGAGATACAAAACTGAAATCAAGTGTGACTGGTTATTTGAATAATGCAATAATGATGAAAGAAAGTTTATAGATCAAAAAGAAGGAGACATTTAGCAGGGCAGAAGACCGCAGCAATACTGTGTGCTGAAAACTGATTGTACAAATACAGACATTATACAGGCAACAATAAAGCACATGAAAGCAAAGCAGATTGCATATGAAATGCTGAAAAGTCACTTTGTGAAGTGCTGCCACAGAGCACTGCCATGGTCTATGACTAATGAAAACCATGGCAGTGTTTAATAACCATGAAACTATAAACCAGTGCTTTAACCACTCACCCCAAAATCCCCAGAAGAATAACTAGGGAATTTAAAAACCCTTAGTGAATCCTAAACAGGAAAGTAAGGTAGCAGGTCCAACACCTTTTTTCTATGATTTAGATTCCCTTTTGTAAAAAAGTTATTTTGGATCTGATGCAGTCTGACCACCACATTTTCCACAAAATTCCTGTACCAGTGAAAACAATAAAATAAAGATCCAGCCAAACCATGAGATGAAGACCAGATCAACTTCACGCTAAACCGCTTTAATGAACACAAGGAATGAACTGGCTTTTGTGAACTGGATACGTAATCACAAGAAAGAACAAGGCTTTGTAGTGAAAACACCTTATGAACAAACTGTCAACTTTAGATTTCTTATAATGGTTCTGCCATGATATGTTGTTAAACAAGTATATTTCTAAATCTTTGTTGCAAAATCTTAGGGGATGAAGAAGCTCTGGGAGGCTTGACACATGAAATTCACTTACATGTTTCATATCTGAGTTGCTTATTGTTAATCCATTTTAAGTGTTGTGATTCCAGAGCATCCACGTCCTTCGCCATTTGTCATTTTCTTATCTCAGAAATTCATTAATGGTCATTATGTCAACAAGATTCTGTAATTGTCCAACTGTTGAGGCCAAAACACCTCAAAAACATTTCTCTTGGATTTGTTTCCTCCCTGGAGCTGACCTCCCCCATGTCGTCATTAATCAGTGATTGCTGACATTTACTCCCAAGAAAAAAAGAGTTGAGGATATCAAGACAAACTAACACCTACTAACATCTGCCAACAAGTCTGACTGATCAACACCAGAAATACCTTCTGGTACTGCTTCTAATTCACACATGGTTTTAACTGACAGCTATTGGCAAACATATGCTTATGCATAAAGTCACACAATGTGATGATGCAATTTAAATGCCAGTCCCAAGATATACAAATATAAAAGACAGGGGTACGTGACAAAATGGCAGCTCAAAAAGAGTGATGTCATGGTTAATGGGCAGGAAATGAGAACACAGCCATCATGATGTAATGTGATAAGACGTGAAGTCAATAACATTAATTTCAACAAAATGTCTACAATGTATATAGAATGATATGGTTGGCATTCTACAGTTTCTAAGGCGGGTGTGTTTAGTTTGTGGTCACACAATAAACCGTCAAAGAGCACAACGAGTCTCTGAAGTGCCAAAGTCCTCAGACTCAGATCTGTGATGTAAAACAGCAGCAGTGGTGTGAGCACTGGTTTCTCTCAGAAGACTTCCTCTTCAGAACAAGAATGTGAAAAAAACATATAATCAAAACATAGAGATTTACATTCAGTCTAGAAAAACATTCCCACACCAATACATACCAGTGTCTCACATCACTAGGGTTGTTGCTTTTTGCAACACACTCTCAGATTTCATGGATGGGATTCATGGATGGACAATGTCCATCACACACCTGCAGTCCACTATAAGCAGAGCTTTGAAAAAAATTCAAGTTGAAATTCCATTGTGAAACTGAGCTCATAAAACTGTCGAGGGCAGGCTTTAATTCATGCCAAAAGCAAGCTCTGCACCAGTTTTTCTGTTCAATACAAAGTTGAGTGCCATATGGAATAAGTAATAATGATGGTATTTTGTTGCATATCATTTACTTCATGGGTCAGGAAGGTGAACTATGTGTAGGCTGCATCATTTTAGAAAGGTATAAACAGTCATTAGGCATTTTGTGCTTAAATGTGTGTGCAGGGTGTCAGGTAAAATTATTATACCTTTCTGTAGAGATGCTTCCAGGGAGCATTGTGACTCCTTGAAGATCTCTGAAACCATCAAAGTTTCCAGAAATAACACACCATCTAGCACAAACTCTCTTCACAACTCCAAACAACAAGGAGTGAGCAAAGTGTCACCATTAATACATGTGGTCTAGACGTGGTTTGCATTACAACTTGAGATGGATTCAATTACTCTAACCGAGCCGGCCTGGCAGAATGGAAACAATGTGATTGTCCAAAAGGGCAACCAACATTCACCTTTCAAAACAAAGCTATTCTCAAATTAATTCAAACTGGTTCCTGATTAGAGGCCCATATGAGCGGTAGACTAAATAATGTGGAGAGGATAGGTATCAGCCAAAATTAGAATAATACATGGTTTCAGTCTCAGTCAATTACAGCTACTGTGTCTGTATGTATTGGACAACACGAAAATGACCAGACACAAAACATCATGACAGACAAGTTGACAATCACAAAGAATGAAAGGATTGTGACAAAAGCACAGAACAGTGTGACTGTGTGGGACGGGACATAACAGTGCCTCTTAGGTTAGTGAGTGAGGAACGCTGACAGGTGATTATCTTGGTTTGTCTTTACCAGGTTTGTCTTTGGACCACTCCATGGATTTAGGATGAGCATTGCCCCTATGATGCGCTCCATCGTCTGTTGAAGGGAGAAAAAGGTCTGTTATGAAATGTTTTGTGTCACTGTGGTAAATACACCAATTCCAACTAAGAAAAAAAAAGCTTTTTGTCTTTTTTTTACCGTTTTTTGATGTTTATTACTGTTTACAGACATTGATAATAAAGCTGGAGACTTCTTTGTGTGTTCAACCTGGTTTTAAAGATGTTCTGGATATACAAATGGAATTGCCAGGACTTTAAAACTTCAAATCATTTGACATTTCTCACTCTCTGTTTTTCTCTAACTCTTTGTAGAGTGTGCGGGTGTGTTTTAGAGAGGAAGAGATACAGAGAGAGAAAGAAAAAGAGAGACTGGCTGTGGCAGCTGTATTGTCTGCACAGTGCTTGGCTTGGCGTGGTTGGTGTAAAATGTGGTGTGTCCTGGCCAGTGCTGTGGCCAGACTTCCCACCCGGCCAGCAAGAGGGGCCGTAAATCATGTTAACGATCCTGACCCCAGAGACGCCACTGCTGCTCATGGGTAAAGCTGTGAAATACTCACCGAGCACATGTGGCAAAGCGTGGAGAACAGAAGATCGAGCAATAGAAGGAGAAAGGCACAAGCATCCAAATGTCTATTGTATGCATTCAAAGACAGATCATGTGCTAAGTCAAGAGCCATAAGTTTGTTTGTCTTCTTCTGTAGATGCGCAGCTGCAGACAAGAGCATGAGAAAGTGCTGACAGGAGAAGATAGTCTGAGGTAGTTATTTGGGAAGAGAGAATGAGAGGAAATACTCGATTACCCCCAGGTGTGCTGGAGCTGTGAGAGGAGGGGAATGTCTTGGATGGAGAAAATGGTCTGACACTATTGTGAGTGGCATGAGGAGGAACCCGGGTGCGAGACAGCGTGCCGTTTCTTCCTGCTGGAGGAGTAGATGAGCTAATGGGAGAACGAGGGACTTCAGCAACGGATGGTCTGAGGACATCAGTACCTAGATGAGCAGAAATGTAATTGGGGAGGTTAGGGATGATCCACTTCCAAGTTTGGCAGCTTTACCTAGATGGAATAAATTAAATTACAGAACACATAAGTGAAAAAGAATGTTGGAGAGAGCAGACAATGAATGAAATGACAGAGAGGCATAAATGAGATCGAAAGTTAGCCAGACTGTTCTGATTGTGAGCGGGCGGAGTGAGGTGAGTGTTCTGGGCTGAAAATGGAGGGAGGCACACATTGAGACAAGGATAATGATGGGATGGGGTGTATAGGGTGGTAGGATGGAGATGGAGAAGCAGTGACATCATCCAATAGTTTGAAGTACAACTTAAAGCACTGGGTTCCACGTGACTTGCAGAGATGGTAATGGGACAAAGTTGTCATGGTGTTTACCCTGATTGTAACTACCAGCCTTCTCTGTAGCCAGGGCAGGTCTTGGTAGAGGCTTGCCCTCTTCTGGTGGACTAGGAGCTGTATGAAAGAAAACTCACTATTTATCTAAGATAATATGTATATGAAAATATTTTTGACTTTTAAAAAGGGGCATATCCTACCTATAGTATATTAAAATACTGAATTACATTAAGCTAGTGAGAGTATTTCTTGTGATCATGATATGCAAGAAGAGTAAACTCTTACATGTAGTCAGACAGTCTGACTGGAATACCATTTTAGATGGCACATGTGTATATGGATTCTCACTTTGTTTTACCAATTGAGAAGATTTAATCATGGTTTGGAGGGATTTGTAAATGTAAAATCTATTGCTAGATTTTTAGCAATGCGTCAAGATTACCTGAAAATCTTTCATTCTTTAAATCTTAAATTCATTAACTAGATTCTGACACTAACAATATCTATCTGGTTTTGACATGTTTTCCTTAAAAACTCAATACAAGTACATCCACAATTTCAATCAATATGCCCCTTTTAAAATGTAATTTTAGATAAGGTCTAAATACTTGATTATGTGGATTGCTGATGGCAAAAGATAGGGTTTTTACCCGTAGGGACTGCCTGCCTTGGGGTGACCTTGGTGGGATCAGTGTAGGTCCTGGTCTGAGACTGAAACTGGTGTCCAGGTTGAGGTTGTGGTTGGGGCCTAGATGAAAGGGTTGGCTTGGGTAGAGGTTCAAGCTGGGACAGAGTCTGGGCCTTTAGAGGGGGATGTGGTTGAGGAATGGGTTGTGAAGGAGGTACAGATTGGGCCTGAGTCTTTGTCGGAGGTGGTGATTGGGGCCATGGCTGAAGCTTTGGGTGAGGTTGTTGTTGGTCCCTTCTTCGGTAGTTTGGTTTATATTTTGGTTGAGGCTTTGACTGCTTTTTTGGTCGAAGTGGAGGTTGGGTCTTTGGTTTAGTTGTTGGTTGGGCCTTAGACTGCTGCTTGGTGGTTAGTTGAGGCTCTGGGTTGGTTTTTATTTGAGGTTGTGACTGTGGGTTGGTCTTTGTTTGAGACTGTGTTTGGATTTGTGGAGATTGTGGTTGAGGTTGGGGCTGGATGTGAATCTTTGGTAGTGTTTGTTGGGTCTGAGGTATATGCTTAAGAGTTAGTTGAGCTTGATGGGTACTTAAATGTGGTTTTGTTTGAGGATGTGCCTGGTGATTGGGCTGGGGTGTTGGTTGAGGTTTTGGTTCAGCCTGGAGCTGGGTTGTGGTCTGAGGCTGTGATTGGGGATGTGGCTTTGACTGAGACTGTAACTGAGTTTGGGTCTTGAGTTTGGGCTGAGGTGTTGATTGGGACTGTAATTGAGGTAGGGACTGGAGTATGGGCTGGGATGTTGGTTTGGGTTGTGGTTGGGTTTGGGGTATGGACTGGGATATTGGTTGGTGTTGAGGTAGGATCTTGGGTATGAACTGGGGTGTTCGTTGGGGTTGAGGTAGGGTCTGGAACATGGGCTGGGATGTTGATTGGTGTTGAGGTTGGGTCTGGGGTATGAACTGGGATGTTGGCTGGTGTTGTGGTTGGGTCTGGGATATGGACAGGGATGTTGGTTGGGTGTGGTGTGTGGGCTGGGATGTTGATTGGAGTTGCAGCTGGGTTTGGATAATGGGTTGAGGCTTTGCCTTTGAGTGGGGCTTTAGTTGAGGTTTTTGGGTGTGGGGCTTTAGTTGTGGTGGTGGTCGATACTGTGGATGGAGCTGGGGGTTTGGTAGAGGTTGTGCATGAGGCTGGGACTGGGGCTTTTGTTGTGGTTGACTCAGATGCCCTCCATGTTTCTCCACATTTGTCTGGGGGAATGGAAAAGATGCCATGGTGGCTGTAATGTGTAGTGGAAAATGGAGTTTTGGAGCTAACGGGACCTCCAGGGAAGTAGGCAAGACAGATCTGGAGAGGTCTCCTCTTCCTGGGTTGTGTGAAAGAGAGGAAATATGGCCATGAAGCCACAATACTGTGCTGTAAAATATAATTTCAAATATAATATACAGTTTGATCTTTTACAAAATGTAATAAAACATAATGTTATTTTATTGTCTAGAAAATCATGAACTCAAGACATAAAGGCAGTTAGGGAACAGCTGAAATTTAGATAAGCAGAAGTGCCAACAGTACTGGCCTGAGAACTCACAGAACTAATCTTGGACTAAAGCACATTTACACAATACCTTCTACCTGGCACTAGTCTGATAGAGGGGGTCCAATTTAGACCATATGGAGGTATTTGCAATGTAACAGCCGTGTTTCTACGGACTCAGTTACCAGGGCCTTGATGCCTTTAAGCAACAGCCATCCAAATCCATTGGCTGTGCCTCGAAGAGGCTATGCCACATGAGAGATTAATAGTAGCTGACTGATCGCTCGCTGTGGCATTTTGATGGACCATGTAAAATTGACTGTTCAATCTGATCAGTTGTTCACCTCAGTGAAGGAGAATGAGAGAGAAAAGTCAGAAAATAAAAACAAGAGAGAGGGAATAACAACAGGAAGGCAAAGTAAACAATAGATAACATGGCATTCCAGGCCTTTATTATCTCTACTCAACTTTACAGCCATGTAATGCTTAAATACCTCTGGTTTTGGGGTTGTTGGATAACTCAGTAGAATTAACCAACCGTCCACGAACAGGATCACAACACTGGCTAAATTATTATTTCCTGGAATGGCCTCCTATATATTCAAAATAAATGGAACTATAGCTGTTGTTTCTATAGAGGAACTGGATTCTCTGAATCAATGCAGCCCATTGATATTTTCTGAGATAATGAGGATCACATGAATGCTATACTGAAACAGATTGTGGGATAATGAGGGTGGCAAATAATATGGCAGTTGCATCCTTCAAATTGCTTCCTTCCTTCCTTTGAAATCAAAATGGGACATAGCATTTGTATGGAAAAACTCTATCTTTATTTAATAAAAATCAAGCTTACTTGCAAAAATAGTAAAATATAAATGTTGGAGAACAGGACACAGTAAGACAAGGTAATACAAGTGCATGAAATGGCGACAAAAATTCTACTCTAGTTCCTGCTGGAGGAATGTCTGAAACATGCAGTTTTGTCATGCAGAGTTCACACGATCGCCTGTGCTGCATTGAAAGCAAAAGCATCGGCAATAATGGTGATGAATAATCATAGTGTAAATACTGAAAGAAAGAACAGAGTAGTGAAACTGCTCTGAAACATATCTTATATAGTGTCATGGACTGATGCAATATTTAGTTAATAATAATGGATTTAACAGTGGTGGAAGAAGTATTCAGATCCATTACTGCTTAAGTACTAATACCACAATGTGAAAATACTCTTCTGCAAATAAAAGTATTCAAACTTTACATGAGTAAGTTATCTGAAAATAAGTACTCATCATTCTGCTGAAAAAATGTCCATGTCAATGATGTACTATGTACAGTATATCACAAAAGCGAGTAAGCTACGCCCCTCACATATTTATAAATATTTGATCATATCTTTTCATCTGTCAACACTGAAGAAATGACACTGCTACAAAAGTAGTGAGTGTACAGTATATGGTACCATGTCCACCAAAGCGTTTTTTTCTGATGCCAGCGTCTATTTTCAATTCATTGCAATGGCAGCGCCGCGTTTTTCCAAGTAGGTAAAAAACCCAGGAGCGTGACGAGGTGCTGAGCGTTTTTTTCCGGTCGTCGAGAGTTGAAAAATGTTCAACTTTGGGAAAAACGCTGAGCTTGTCACTGTCACTTTTTACCCAGCCGTCCAATCACAGTGCAGGAGGGGCGGGACAAACACTGCAACGAGCACATCCGATCTTGAACGAAACGATGTGCCTACTCGCCGAGGTGTTTCCTCGCCATGTAGGGACTCTCATGTTTCAGCTTTCTCTTCATGTAGAGCAAGGGCCAGAGCAAGTAGGCCTACATACTTTGTGGTTACATTTTTACATTCACTAAAAGTAAGTAGGCTACCCTACTTGCAACACATCGCCTCCACGGAAATTATTTATCATAGCAACCACAGCGTCTCGAAAAAAACACTGCGCCTCCAAAACGCACCCTAGCGCTCCTAGCTAGGGTTTTTTTTAGAACAGCAGGTGGCGTTTTCAGCTGGCATGGTTGCTCTACATAAAGATGGCCTAGGCTGTAAGATGATTGCCAAGTCCCTGAAACTGAGCTGCAGCACGGTAGCCAGGACCATACAGAGGTTCACCAGGACAGGTTCCACTCAAAGAAGTTGAGTGCACGTCCTCAGTGTCATGCTGCCAGCAATGCTGCAGAGGTTGAAGGGGTGGTAGGGTTAGCCTCAGTGCTCAGACCATACACCGCACACTGCATCAGATTGGTCTGCATGGCTGTTGTCCCAGAAGGAAGCCACTTCCAAAGATGATGCACAAGAAAGCTCACAAACAGTTTGCTGAAGACAAGCAGACTAAGGACATGGATGACTGGAACCATGTCCTTTGGTCTGATGAGTACAAGATAAACTTATTTGGTTCAGATGGTCCATCTGTCTTTACATTCTGAGTGATGTTGAAACGTTTTAACTTAAATAAAGAGAAAACTGTGTGGATTTCTGATGTGTGTCACATTGAACATTACGTCGCGGCAGCTGTGTGTGGCGTCGCTATGACGACAAGCTACATTGAGGGGTACTATTTCTGGGTACTATGTGCAATGGAAAATGGAGCATGGCCAAACCAAGTCGAGTCGAGGCAAGGCGAGTTGAGCTGGTACTGGTAATGGAAAAGCGCCATAACATCCACCAGTTCCGTGATGTATTCATGAAGGAGTGGAAGAGGACTCCAATGGCAACCCGTGAAGCTCTGGTGAAATCCATGCCCAAGACGGTTAAGGCAGTGCTGGAAAATAATAGTAGCCACACAAAATATTGACACTTTGGGCCCAATTTGGACATTTTCACTTGTACTCATGTTTGTTGCCACAGACATTCATGGCTGTGTGATGTGTTATTTTGAGGGGACAGCAAATTTACACTGTTATACAAGCTCTATACTCACTACTTTACATTGTAGCAAAGTGTAATTTCTTCAGTGTTGTAACATGAAAAGTATTTACAAAAATGTGAGAGGTGTACTCACTTTTGTTAGATACTGTTTGTTTTTGGATTAATATTATCGGGGCATTAATGAATATGTTGCATTTTACTGCTGTAGATGTTGTTCTGGAATTTATTATCACAATGTTTAAGGTTGAGCTAAATTGAACTATTTTATATACTGTTGGGTTGTTTAATCTACAGTAATGCATGGTGTGCTTGTCTAACTGATTTTTGATTTGACATAGATTTTACCTGCAATAAAATTGTGTAGATTATATCTTGCAAATCAGTCACTGTAAAAAGAAATAACTGTCACATACAACACAACATTGAAATAATCATTAAGAATCCCTGCAAGCTTTGTTGTTTGGTTAAAATGCCATGCAGCCGAGGCCACCTACCTTATCCTCATTACAACCCAAACAGCTGACACCATCGGTTTCCACATGTGGGGTGTACTTACTGTACTCACTCAGAGCATGCCACTCTTGCTCATGCAGCTAATTACAAAAGACACTGTAAAGCACTGACAGCCTCTCAGTTACAGTCCACCGTGTCCATGACTGCATACAGCTGGAATTAGAGCCATGAAGCTTTTTTTAAAAGAACCATGATTCACTGATTACCGATTGGCTGTTTGGTGACCACAGGCAGTGTGGGTCCCGGGGTCGACAAAGGTTCCTGTCTAGTAGTTGTGGTAGTAGGTGTGGTTGTAGCTGGGAAATATAATGTACATTAGTAGACCTGGGAGAAAAGTTATTACTGTATGTCCTTTAGAATGTCAAAAAACTGGCGTATGTACAGTAAACAATGAGATAAGATTTGCAGGATAGTGATGGAGAAGTCGGGTAGAATAGTCAAATGTAAGGCCAAGAGCTTTTTCTGATCTCTGAACTCTTAAGGTCAGAAAAGTCATTACCAAGAGTCGTCTTTGGGGCTATGTTCCGGGAGAGGGGCAGTCTGCCCTGGGTCCTATTATGTGGAACTGACAACGACAAGGGAGGAAAGATTTAAGTCAAGGAGTCACACATAAGATGCCCTTATAGTCCTGAAAAAAAGAGTTACGTAAAGTAATTATGTTTATGCACCCATTTCACAACACAAACAATGTCCCCTGCATTATATTTTTGTATTGCACCCCTCAGCAAAATGTCCAATGTTTATTCTTACATTATCTAAACCTAGCATCTGAGGTTCTTTGGTCACATGAAGGCAGCGAAAACAAGCTGTAAACACAACACTGACCTATTATCACCTTTTAGTTGCATTTCCGGCCACCTGAGGAATGTCAGTCCACTAACATTCATCGTCATTTTAGCTCTGTTTTTGGGATTTACCAACTCCTTAGGGAAATATCTGGCTGCTAAATGCTAGTCACTAACTACGTCTTGGTGCAGGGCAGGTAGTGTGCAGGGGATTTTTGGAGCTTTACTGCTGAAAACATTTCAAAACACACAGTTTTAAAACAGCTTCACTGTACTTGGCACCTGCAATAAACCAGCAAAATGAAAATTTTGTATTCTAAAAAAGTGAGACTGGTTTTGATGAGGTCCTGTGTATAAAACGATAAATCAGAGTTCTAGTTAAAATTCTTCCAGTGCTGACTCCTAAAGCAGGGGTCAGTCGAAATCAGACATTTCTGGGCGGTGATACATCATAGTACGCATATATAAAAATTCTGATGCTGTATTGAAAAGGGTTCACTGGGTTTGACCAAAAGCACCATGTCTCTATTGGCTTACCATGGCGAGGAGCAAAGGGAGGATCTGTCCTTAAATGTTTCTGAAGGGCGAAAGACAAAAAGACAGCTGAAGAATTGGTCATTAGTCTTTGTAACGATCATAACAAGTGAAAGTACAGTGGAAACCGCTTAGAGTGATCATGGTTACAGTGATCCACCACATATGCTGTTTAAATAATTTGCTTTGTAGTAATCAAGTAGTCCGCTTACAGTTATCATTTTGTGTCTTTTCATACATGACAACATCTGAAAATAATCATAATATTTTATGCATACATTTTCAAACTATGGTACCAGTTCGGCATCGATAGATTACACTTTATTTTGAGGCCTGTTAAAAATTTAGAAATTCACTGAAACCTTCGCCGAGCTGTGGCTTAGTAGCAGCACAATACTGATTTAATCAAATCACAATAATTTGGCCCACAGATACCCAGAAATCATAGTGATTTTGGATATAGCCTAATCCTAATTTGAACTACAGTAAGCTATACTGTATATTCAGAACTGTACTGTATTAATGTATAGTGCATTTGAATGATGATTGAAAATTGTATAAGCCAGCTCTACTGTATTTTAAAACAGTCAATGAAATTTAGAAAATAGCATAGCTGTCCATTTCATTACTTTATATTCATGTAATAAATATACAAATGTCAATTAGATGGCAATACAAATCCAAGAGAAATAAAGCACGAAAAGACAAAATAATTGTGGTTATAATAATCAACCACTTATAGTGACCTGAACAGACGAAGGGTTTTTCGCTGTATTAGCATTTTACAGTAATGCCATCTCTTTCTCTGCCTCTCTCTCTGTGTTCCATAAATCTTAGGCCCTCTACTCCATGTCGAATTGGTAAGGTCCCCTGTGAGAAGCTTGTTATTTGAAGTTTCCCTCTGGAAGGGCAAGTGTTGTGGCTAATTCTCAACAGCTGTGATGTTTTACGAGTATAGATCCAGGAACACATGACACATCAACACTGCACTGTCAGTAAATCAGTGCCACCTTTCTCCTCTCATCTTCCACACTGTTATCCTTCCTCCTCTATCCTTCTCTCTCATCTCCTTTTCTTCTCTCTTTTGTTCCACTCCAGAAGTTAGCTAGTTACAGACCGCTCTCTTGGCTTGGCCGGTCCTGGCTGCAATGGTGCTGTTTCCATTCGGCAGCTGGATGGAAAATTAATGAGGCAAACAACCCTGAGAATAGCATAAGCTCACTAAAGTGTACAACACAGACTCTAAAGCATATTGCCTGTTCCAAATACACACCCTGTTCCCAAAAATATGTATTTTAAGGAGAGGAACTGTACCTGTGCAGTCTCAGGTTTCTCATTGGTTTATGACACTTATTTAATTTAGTATATTCTGCAACTCTTAATACTAATGTAAGAAAATCTATTATATTAGTTATAATGCATTGGTTATGCATTGATAAGAAGTGTGTTCAATACATACCACAGGGTTGACGGGGCGTTTAAAGATTTTCTCTAGAAACATGACACGAGATAAAAATCAGTAAAGAAATCAGCGCAGAGGAACTAATAGAAAATGAAGAACTAAATGAAACCACATTACAAACATGATTTACTCGTGATGCATTTCATCTTGGAAGACTGAATGAGAGAGTTCCACAGAACTGGCTTAAGTTAACAACAAGATGGATTTGATTCAGTAAGACTGGTTAGTATCTCCTGGAAGGAAAGGGCTTATATGATACAACCTTACTTAGCTAACTGGCATAAGCTCAGTCAGCATCTGTAATTATATAGTCAAACACTGCTAAATTAGCACAAGAGCTTTGCCTCTAAATTACTAATCAAACCGATTCATACACAAATAAATCATGCAGAAGAAGACTGTCAAGACTACAATGAACAGAAACATGAGGCTTTTTTTAGGAGCTCTGTAATACTGAACAACAAAGCTCAGGGTTTTCTTAATTTCAGATCAGACTTGAAAACTATTTATAAACTATGAAAACTTCCCCACTTTTCTGAAGGCCAGAGGCACATACTTGAAGTCTGTTGCCAGTGGAGCTACATATTTAAATGTTCAAATCATTGTTTATTTGTAATGGCCGTAGCAAGAGTACTGTTTTAGGTGGGGTATGAGGGCCTATATCATGTGAAAAGCCGACATCAAACATACCCACTATGCCGACTGTGCTGATGTTGTGAATGACGGGCTTGCTCCACAATCCAGTGCCATCCTTAGAGTTGGGCTGGACACCGAACTCATAGACTGTGTTGGGCTTCAGATTGTCAATGACCGTGTCACTAGTTGGGCAGGTCTGGTAGTTCCACTTCCTGTTCTTCTCACGATAACGCACTGTGTAGTGTCTGAGCCAAAGACCGAGCAAAACAGAACATGAAGATAAACAGTAAATCATGTTTATGAAGAAACTTAGACATCCAGATGTTAGAATTTATAGATGTCTTAAAAAACATTTTGTCATTCATTCAAGAGGCTGCATCAGAGTTCCCAGGCATTTAAACCTTTCTAGGGACATTCACACTTAATGTCACAGTACACTGCTGAGTACTTTTAGATACCATACAATCCCATTGTCTGCTCTTATTCAGCATTGCATAGTTTTCCAACAATGCTGACAATGTTCTAACAACTCCTTTTGATCAAAATCTAAGCACTCCTTGCAGAAATGACCATCTCAAGCTTTCTAATGTAGTTTAACACTATGTATTACTGCATGAATTGCACAGTCAGGATCCAGTGTTTTGATGCTGTGACAGAAATTTGCTTCTCTCCCCACAGAAGGAATTTCTTTGAGAGAAGGTGTCATGTATGTTGTGTAGGCGGACTCCTCTCCTAAACACCTGTGTGCACAAGCTGTACTCGATCCACTGCTCAGTAACCTGAGAGACTTCAGGGAATCATTTACTGTTAATGCACTTATACTGTGTGTGTGTGTGTGTGTGTGTGTGTGTGTGTGTGTGTGTGTTTAAACTCACCCATCCTCAAGACAGTCATTCATGACGTTGCCTTCGTAGGGGGTCTTCAGAAGGGTCCCCCAGGACAGGAGAACTGAAGTGGGTGTTACCGACCCAATGACCAAATGTAGCGGCTTCTCCAGCTGTACTTTACCTGAGAACAAATTAACATTTTACTTTTACCCCCATGTCCACCTCGATGCACAAGTCCCCATGTTTCGTGTCTGAATGACAAGGGTACCATGTCACTATAAAATTCTTGTAGAAGCATTACCTGTACACTGCTTTTTCACTTCATTGGTTGGGATGGGCTGGACGGCGATAAGGTACTTGGGCTCAGCATCTAAACACGGAAGAAGAACTCGAGTTTATAGATACTCTCACCTTCCAGAGACATACTAATCTCTCTTCTTTTAGCAATGACTAAAAAGGTCAAACTACACAAATCACAGCCTCTCTTACCAAACTCAGTCTCATACATCTGTCCGTTCTCAGGCAGCTGAATGAACTGTTTGGAGAACATGCTGCTGCCGTAGCCCAGGATGTAGCCCTCAAGCTTGGTGTCAGCGTTGGGACGCAAAAACTTCATCACAATGGTGTCTCCTGTGGCGTTTATACGGACTTTCATGTTCTGGCGTCTCACTGGGGAGACAGGAGGGGACCCAAATGTGCCTTTAAACATTTGTGTATTTTCTGTTAGTGATGATTGTTGATTTTGAGACAATCACTGTATTTGTGACACAGTACGGTGCAAGGAGGCCAAAAAAAATTAAATCCGGTTAAAAGAGGTTCTGCACAGTTCAGACCAATGCAAATAGTCCAAGATAAAACCAAACTTTTGGTCATTATGGTTTATAACTCACTTCACATCTGCGCAGTTTAATATACCTAAATTCTAAATACACAGGAAATGCCACAAATACAACATAACACATAAAGTGAGGAGGAAGTGTTACAAAGAAAAGTAATACTGCACAAAATGGGAAACTGCAGTACCTACCAACCTCACACAAAATTATTTTCGTATTCTTTCCATGTTAGTCTTGTTTTGTAAAAGCAGAACAAAGCTTGTGAGGGAGAGTTCTCAGAGTCACTTAAATGCTTCTTACACTTCCCAGATTCAAAACTTCTGTTCTCCATCACTGCACAGGCACACTCAAGGCGTACATGCAGTCAAAGCAGACTTAACTTCTGCTGAGGTGTAAGTTTTACTGAAAGCTAATAATGGTGATTTTATTGAGAGTACAACGCTAGGAGAAGAACCTAATAACACGTTTTATTGTGTGCTGGATAAGAACATTACTAGAGTACAAGCATTAAGGATCTGACACTTGCACACATCAGTAACTGCATACACACTGAAGCTTCTATATGAACTGACACTGAAGCTCAACCAAGATTGATTCATATTAACCTTTTCTTGAACTAAACAAACGAGAAAGAAAAAATAATTGTATTTATATATGTAAATCACTTTGAATTTCCTTGTTGTTGAATGGTGCTATACAAATAAACTTGTTATGACTTGCCTTGCCTAGTGTATGTTGCAGTATGTCACATGCATGTGTGCACATACACACTAACACTGATCATCAATATTTGTTAGAAGAGGCAGGAGAATGATTCAGTCAGCAGCCAAAAATCTGCGCGATCCCATCAGTTTTGCCAGAATTGTTTTCTGTTTTTAAGGTAATGTTTATTTGAATGTTGGAAATGTATAGCATCTGTTAATCCTATAAGTAGGCTAAGGAGGACTCACAAACTTTTGGATGCAGCAATCTTCTTACCAATCAGGTTCTGCCGTAACTCTACCAGAGAGGGGCAGGGGGATATGATCTTTATCATTATTACAAGTCTGAGTGCCATTTAAGTGTTGAACTTTAGTTGTCAGCTTTCAAACAAACGCAAACATTGCTGCCAGTAATTACAGTAATCACTGTATTTTAATTTTTAACTTGTGTATGAAGTCTCAATGCTGTGATGCATATCATAACTACTGAACTGACAAGCCACTCTAGGACAGAGCATGGATGAATTTGTTTATTTTCCTCTCATCAGTTGCCTCCACCATGTGGCCTTTGAAACTAGCCAAGAACCAGGCATGCTAACAATTAGTCAGTTTGTAACAGGCATGCTAATAAACATCAGAAAATTGAGACGAGTGCAGCTGTGCCAGAAGTGTGATTTATGACTGACATTTGGCTGACACACATGTAAAACAATAAATAACCACACCAGTGCAGACTTGGATGATAAATGGTTTACAGTGGTAATAGAAATATACAGGTATGTCAAATTAAGCCTGTTTTTATTAAATAGTGGTTCTGTTTTTATCATATTAAGCGTGTTTTATTTCAATGATTCACATTCATCTTAAAATAAAGTTAGAATAAAAATCCAATTCGTAAATTCAATGATATTTCCCTCAACTCTTATCAGTTCTAGTTTTAGAATTTTGATTTTGCTGTGGAAATCAAAAATTAGTCTATGGGGGCTCAAACCTTCACCTCTCATAGTCTACAACGCTTAAAACAATAGACTTGACTTTCTGCTTGGATTATGGCTTGTACTATACTCTCTGCAGCACATGTCCTTGGCTCATATTTCGGCATTAAATTAAATAGTGGAACTTTGCATGAGGAATAATGCCAGCAGCTGCCAGAAGCCAAAACAGACACTGACCGTGAAAGAGGGGGAAGCCCTGGATTTGAAAAATACCCTCATGCTTTTCCAGCTATGTGCTTCCTATCAAAGCTGCATTTGTTTTGATTCTCCCATCAATATTTCCGATAAAACACAAGTGAGATTGGCTCCAAGGGAAAGGGGCTCAGAGTGTATGAAACATTAGGAAACTTCTGGCACCACATTTTAAACTCCAGTACAAGCAAACACTGGCTCAGTCCCGCAACAACCCGTCCAAAGCCCAGCCATTTGGCCCCCACACCACTTAGGGACTGTTCAGACTTATCAGTATTTCCAGATAAAATGAATAAGGAACTGATCCAGTCAATCCTGACAATAAATCAACTACAGTACAAACGAAAACTACCAACATTTAGCTAACCAGAAAACTGCTAAGCCAGAAAAATGTTTGTTTGGATGGATAGAAAAAGGAAAATAATGATTGATTATCTGAATTTAAGTTTTTCCCGCTCTGCTTGTGACTCTGACCCTGTCAAACACGTGAGATCATAGAAGATTTGTAACCTCACCAAAAGACAAATAACTGAAGTATAATTAAATCCATGATCTTACCCTTAATAACCATAGATGGATTACTGAACAGGCCTACCAGGCAGAAACAGAGCCTATGATTGAAGTGACGGTTAATATGTCTTGTTGGAGAGTCAATCAAACGACTACAAAGAGACACAAAACGGGATGCAAAAGGAGACACAAAAACAACTACAAAGATACGCAAAATGGGCCACTGACAGACTTATATATATATAAAGTGGCCACAAAGACACAAAACACACATACAAAAAGACAAAAAACACCCGAAAGAGACACAAAACATCTACAAAAGAGACACCAAATGACCAAAAAGATATGCATAAGGAAGACAAAAAGACAAAACAACCAAGAAGAGACGTAAAATGATCACAAAGAGACGAAAGTGACCACAAAGAGATTCACTCGGCTGCGTCAACAGTTGTTTTTCAATCTGCAGGTCTGGTTACCAATCTACCATAGAGGGAAACATTTAGAACACAAAAGATTTATTCTAACAGAAAGAAATTGCAAAATGCCATGATTTAACTGACAACAGATTTATGTTTTAATAAATATCAGCTGTATGTTACGGAGAGTTGGTCACAGATTTTGGATTCATTCCTACTCTCGATGTGGGTGACAGTCTGTTATATAATATACTGTAAATCTCACAGTGACGACAACTCTCTTCAATTGAAATGCCATGACATAAGCCGTCTCTCCCCTTCATGCAGAGAAAATAACCAATTCATCAACAATTACTGTACAAGCAAATCCATCATAACACTGGGAGTCAGCCAATAAACAAGTCAGATTAGTATGATATAAACAATGCCACATCATTCTACAAACATTTCACCATTGTATTCATCCTGTTTTGGACTGTTAGCCAGAGGATGTAATCCTGCTGGCCTGAAAAGAAGAAACACCCTCAAACTGGAAACTCAATCTTGGCCTAGCAGGGCGGCTATCTTGGATCATCAGCAGTGATGGATGATCCTCCCGGAAAGGGAGTAGGTTAATAGGGTTGTCAGAATAACATGCTCTCTTCCCTTTCAAACGCTGTACAACATGATATGTTTATGTGTGTTTGAAAATAGATATAAAAACGTGCATCTGTGCAGTATGTGCAGTTTTGGCATCGGCACCCTGATTTACTGTCTAACATTATCAAACCACAGATTTCTACCACTGGCAGTCACACTCCACTGTATCTCTCCTCTCTTGGCTCAAATGAGGAGGAGGACTGCGCTAAAGTAAACTCAATGAAAACAAATACACTGAGATCATCACATGACTTTTTCACTCACGCTGATGTGTGAACTAATGAACTATAAATATCTGAAGCAAAGCCTCAGAAAAAAAAGAAAGAAAACTTCGAAGAGGACTACAAGGCTTGTTTTGTTTTCAAAATATGCAATGGAAAATAACTTTTCCGCTCTTTGTTGAAATGAATGTGGTAATTCTGGTGGATGAAAGTGAAACAGAATAATGAAGTCATGTCAGTTTGTTTTGAGCAGCTGAGCTCTACACACTGTAAATCCCACTGACTAAATGAGGGTATAAACTCTTAATACTTAATACTGGAACAATATTTTGCTCTACAAGCCCCTGTATAACACATCATGCCTATAGAATCCATTAAACTGGCACACACACACACATTATATCGTGTGTGTGTGTGCATGGTGTGTGCATGGTGCCCTGAGTGATTTTACGCAGCTCTGGTGTACAGTATTTCAACCTCTCAGGTTTCTGTCGTGGAAGAGGAGAGGTGGAGAGGAGACTTGGCTTTCTGCACCGTGGATACAGAGACAGATGTTTTATTGCCCCTTGTTGAAACAGTCACCTTTATTTAAAGCAATGAAGTGTGAAAATCTCTCTGAGCCCCGTGCCAACCAGAGCACAGAGAGTTTGAAATAATTAGGCTGTTGAGCAAAGGACAGCTGAACTGGCCAATATTAGCTCTAATGGGAATACCCAGAGCCTGCAGACCTGGATAACTCAGCTCTCTGAATATCTACTGTTATCTAGCAGGAGCCTCTTTGATGCGGTTGTTCTCTGGAACAATCCCTTCTCTTAGGTTCAAAAGAGGCCTCACCTTGCAGCACAGCGGGACAGAGTCATGCCTGGGATTATACTCCCACATTTCCCCCCTACACACCTTGGCGGCTTCCATGCTAGTCCCTCCGCTCTCACACTATATATCCCTCCTGTCAGATTTGACGGAGCAACAGCTGTTTTCCCTTCCCCTGTGGCACCGCTCCATTGAAACCTTCTCCTCCTTCACTCAATCCCTGCCGTCCTATCTTTCCATCAAGTGCTTTGAATTCATCTGTGTTTTCCTCTAATCTCTGCTTTCTTGTATCTCCTTCCATATTTCCCTCTCATTAATCTGTACATGACATGTGGCTATGTTTTGTCTGGCTCAGCAGCAGTTTCCCGGCCATATATTGTCCTGAAGTGGGGTAGAGGTAAGTAAGTTCCTGATATATCACCTCATATACACTAAATAGTGAAAGAAAATGTTTGTAACATGTAAATGGGAATTAAAAGCCTTGGGAAGTACAGATCATCCAACAGTGTATAGACCTACCAAAGCTGACACATGTATTATGCCATAATATCTATGACACAAGAAAGCAAACACATGTCATTGCGTAATGTGTTTCATTCTAAAACAAGGGGCTTGGTCCAAGAAGAACAGAGATACAGACATTTAACTCTCCTCCCAAAGCAAAAACACACACCGCCCCTTTAATCTAGCTCCCAAAGCTGCACATTGAGATTTGTCGGCATGCCAAGTTAAGCCAGCAAGTTACGCACTGGAAGCAGCCCTTTCCATTGTACTTACCTCTTCATACAGACTCCAGTGTGCTCACCTCAAATCACTTTTACTACCATCAAAGTCTTCAAAGGACACCCAAGTTTAACTCCCAAATTGAGCAGAGTCAGACGGAAAGCCAGAGTTCACTGTGCATGCAATTGTTGTGTGTGTGTGTGTGGAAAAGGCTTGTGGAAAATTTGCTGTTTTCCAAGAATGTCGTGAGAATCAATATGCTATAATCTACTTATTAAAGTGAGTCTGTTTATGGTTTCCTTTATTGGCACTTTGGAAGACAGAACACTTCATGTTGGAGGTAAGGGGTTTGGGTGCCCTAACACAAGTTGTCTTCTTGATACAAATCTCGTAATAGTGATTTAGTTTGTTAGTGTTAAAGATGTTGCAATAATCTCCATGTTGCTGTTGCTATTTTGGAAACATTTCTGACATATGTGGCTTGCGCTGGCAAGAAATTATGTGTGTGTCTGTGTTTAATTTTAAAGACTCTTCAGGTGGTTTGATAAAATCCCTTAATCAGAGCTGTAATATGTTTAAAACAAGAAAAAAAAATTGCCTGAGGAATGAATGAAATAATTAGCTGGTTTATGAACTCATCAAATCGTCTGCATGGTAGGCACAGTTCCAGGAAAGCCATCCCATTAGGTTGTCTACAAGTCTAACCCCTGACCCCCAACCTGGAAACACTTTCGTTAAAACTTGAGAGCAGCAACTGACCTACTTTGCTATGCTTCTCACCTCATTTCAGGGAAATGTGGATAAACCACAGGGATCGTAAAAACAGTGCTTCCTAATCGAGGCAGTTCGAAAGCCTGACAGGTGTCTCAACAGAGGAAAGCTGATTTTCCTTTTAGGTTTAGGGTTCAACAGCATTTTACAATGTCAGAAGTCAGGATCAAATGCATATAATGAATATGTATCCCTTCAAATCCACATATTGAGAGGGGCACAATTTATATTGCTTTTATCACACTCAGTGCACAAACAACATGACTTAGACAAATGTCAGTCCCGCAATATATGAATAACATAATATCTAAGAACTAGAAAGAATTAAAATGCAGAATAGGGTACATTATCCAGCAATTTTGCTAAATATTATTATTATTATTTGCTATATATAAACAAATATGGCACATTGCCCACGTTGCACTATACTTGTGTACTGCATTAAAGAAAATTGCACAATAATAGGGCATAGCTTGCTTTGTTGTCTGGACACAGAAAACAAGTTTGTGAGGAACACAGGGTAGAGTTATGTGACAAATGTGGTATTCGGGGTTGTATCAAAACGTTTTGCCTTTACTTATCTGCATATTTCAGCCACTTTTAATCATCTATTGCTCTGTATGTGAGTAATTAGGGATTTGTGCACATAAAAAGCTTTTTTCATGATGTTACAAACAATGTGTCGAATGGTATCCATCACTCTGCTAACTTTGTAGCAAATTGTCTCAATATGGCTACAAAACTATTTCTCTTGTCATTTGTCCTAGAAACAAATATCCGTCTTTCTAACTATGACATATTATCTTTCGAAGCGTATCCCAGCATGCATTTGGCAGAAGGCAGAGAAAGACCATGGAAAAGCCATCAGTGTATCACAAAGCTAACATAGAAAGATGTTAACTTTCACTTGCAGGGATCCTACAACTACAAGCAGAGAAGACCATAATGACCAAACACTGGTTGACTCAACAAATACATCACTTCACATGCAATCAATAGTGTGTCCTGATGTGGACGTCTTAGTGGAAGACAGTAACACTGATGTTATCACCTACCTCTGCTCCTGCGGGGAGTTGAGGGGCCAGATAGAACTATCCCAGCGATGAAGACCATGAGGAGAAGGACCAGAAAGCTGTGTGAATGTTGCTGCATCACCGTCATCATCTATGCTGTGGTTGACTCTGAGTCTCAGGTGTAACAAGCTGCTGTGATCTGAATGAGCTCAGTTCAGCTCAGATATCTGACAACACGAATGAGACACAGAAATAATATTATGTCACTCAGCGTTACCGCGCTGATTGAATTAATCTATTGGTAACAGATTGAGTTTAGTGTGTGCTGCAGCTGCAGGAGTCAGGCTGGAGTGGCTGGACTACTTCTCTGATCTGGTGGCTCTCAGGACTAGTGCAGCTCACTAGACTGGACTTCTGGATGCAGCAGGCTGCTCCTGCACCATCTATACCTCTATATTGGAGGGAGGGGAAAAACAGAAACACACCCACTCCCATCTCTCCTTCTCTTTCTCTCTCTCTCTCTGTCTCATCTCACACTCTTTTTCTCTAGAAAAGGAGTGAAAGTTTTCTCCAAGCTTCCCGCCCTCCTCAGTCTCTTTTTTTCTCTCTGTCCAGTCTAGTGTGTCCCCAGCAATCCTACTTTTAATCTGCAGCAGTCTTTTGACACTTTTCATTGTTATTATTCTCTTTCCTTTCTTTTTATAGCTTGTCTCACACAGAGAGTTTACATGTACTCTAAGATCCTGGTTTTGATATTCTGCATATAACATTTACATGGAACTTGAGAAATCTGGTTATTCATATCCATGCATACATGATTCAAATAGTATCCAGTATCCACCAACCCTAACACCATACAAAAATGTCAATATTGGACAATTTCTGCAAAATCCTGGATTAGGTTCATCGCCAGCATTTTTTTAATTCTCACTTTATACAATATGGTATGGTAAGGGTTATGCAACTAAAACTAAAGATCTTGGTTATAGCTAATTAAAAAATTTGCATTAATAAAGTAAACTCCGGTATGACGTGCTAATGGATGGGTGTCATTATATCCACACTTTTACTTTCTGCTTTGCTGCATGAAGGCCACAATACTTCTTGTATTGACACTGAATGTTGACATACATCATGAAGTGTATAATTGTTCATTATGAGTGTATTTCCAAGGATACTGGGCTGCTGTGTGGAGGTATGTCTTTAACTCCTTGACATCTCAACCACTCTTCTGTACTGACTTACCTCAACAGTTGGGGATGAACTTTTGTCACTTTGTTTTCTGGTTGCCTGGACTGTAGTTACCAACAGCTTCTCCATCTGGTCAACAGTAATTCAACATTAGAGTGACAATATAATTTGTATGTTACCAGTGTTAAAGCAAATAAAAATGAAAACCTTTAGAGTGATGTAATAAAGTCTTATCCTGGTTCTTGTGTACACACAAATCCTGGGATACTTCAGAAAAACTAATGAAACCTGGGATATTGTGCACCTGTGAACACATACACATTGTATTGGTGTGTGCATACATAAGGGTTTTATAATTGCTTACTTAAGTTCACTCTGTTATCTCGCTCACAAACACACACATATACACACTAGAGCTGCAACAATTAGTAAATTAATCTAATCATCTAATTGTTTTGTACAGTCGACTATTTTGACAATCCATTAATCATTTTGAGTCATTGTTTAAGAAACAAATTCCAAATTCTCTGATTTCAACTTCTCAAATGTAAATATTTTCTGGCTTCTTTTGTCCTCTATCACATTAAACTACATATCATTAGGGTTGTGGACAAAACAAGACATTTGATGATGTCACCTTGGGCTTTGGGAAACACTGATTGACATCTTTCACCATTTTCTGGATCAAACAACTAATCGATTAATCGTGAAAAATAATTAACAGGCTAACCAATAATGAAAATAATCGTTGCAGCCCTAATCCACTCACACAGCCATGCCTTGTATATCTTTAATTTCCCAGCCCCCTAACCTAATCTCAATTTAAGCCTGCTTCTGAAATTGAATAAACGTCCTCAGAAGTGAGGCAAGTCCCTGTTGCATGAGAGGGCTTCCAGATTTGGATCCCCACAATGCCATACAAACAAAAAGCACACACTAAACTACAGGGTAACTGAAACAGTCATATAAGCTGTGTGTATCCAAAAAGTTATGTGTGCACGGGGTATGCCTGCCATCATATTCCATGGAAACAATGTCTCTCATCATCCCATCTATAAATACTTTCTTCGCCAATGACAAAAAACACATTAACATCATGTGCACCACAGACCAACTGACAAAACAAGCCATTTGCAGCCATGTGTCTCACATTCACACATGACTTTTTAGGTGCATCGCAAATACATGGTGACAACAATGCATCATAGGCTTTCTTTGATCTCAGACTCACAGTTTATCATTGTTTACAGCCAACGGGTTCAGTTTTTGCGTGTGTGTTTCGTGCAGCCAGTTTTAGTCCTGGTCAGCCAAAACTCTCAGCCAGAACTGGGCCTCAAGGACATGTATGTGCGTTTGTGCAAGGCACACACATGTCTGCTTGCACGTGCATGTGTGTTCTCCAACATCTCCACCCTCCAATGCAGTTGATCATATCCCACATGTCATCACACGAGACAGGAAATGATATTGCGCGCCAGAGGAGGTGTGTCTCCTGAGGAAGTCCCTGAACAGACTGTTGCAGTGGAACCCCGGCCTTCATCACGCCAGAACCCATTAAACACAGTTGAATCATAGACTGCACTCTGTGAAAATGATGAAAAAAATTTATAAAAAAAGCTGTGGTTTAACCAGTGGGACTTAACCTGCTTTCACAGTGAGCTTTGTTTGTCTATGAAGTCACAGTATCACTGGGATGAAGGGAAACATGGCAGATAAAGACAACTGCAATTAATGATCTTTTATCAGCTTTCATTTTATCTCATCATCTTCACGTCCCTAGTGGTGGAAAGTAACTAATTGCATTCGCTCAAGTACTGTAGTTAAGTACAAGTTTGAGGTATGTGTACTTTACTTGAAAATGCCCATTCTATGCTACTTTTATACTTTTAATCCATTAAATTTCAGAGGGAAATATTGTACTTTACTCACTAGATGTATCTCACACATTTAGTCACTAGTTACTTTTCAGATTAAGAATTTACTTGTAAAAAGCTTATAAAATGCAATGCATTGTTAAAAATTAAAGCAGTAGTTCCCAATTTTTTTGGTTTGTGACCCCTCCAGATGTCTGCGAGTTATTAGCAGTTCTACCGAAGACAGATTTCCCCTTTAAACTTCTCAGATGGTTTCATTTATGTTATTGCTTGAGGTCCAGAATGGTAAAATAATTCAAATTTTTTACACGAACAAGGGGAAAAACCCTGCAAAAAACAGGGTTGGTGGTGACAACAAAAGACAACAGAAAATATACACCAATTGCAGAAAGCAAAGACACCAGCAAGAGAAGCAATAAACAGCAGAGAATATGCCTGTCACAGAATGCAGTTGTTACTGAGAGTGGGACGCCACGCCATCACACCTACCTTTAAAAAAAGCAGTTTGGGATCCTTTTCACATGTTTAAGACCTGTGAGTTGTTAACAGTCCCACCAAAGAGACATTCTTCTCAAATATTATATATATATTAATATTTAATTGAAATAACTGTTCTAGGATCAAAAAGGTAATAATCACACCATGCTGACAAAAACTGGTGAGTTTCAATAAAACGATATAGCTAACGTTTAATATACGAGACCGTTACCTAACGTTTGGCTAACCGTAGCTACAAAGTTGCAAAAATGTTGACAATAACTATAACAGCTGTTAACGCTGGTGTTGAAAGAGCTGTATGAGTCCTCCAAATTGGGATCCTAGTTTGGTGTTCAAGGTCTGGTTCAAGTTTTGTAGAGAATTTGAAGAAAGAATGACATTCAAATCTTTACTCTTTAACCAGTTGAGTAGGGTCGTATGGTTTTCCCTGTTCTGAAAAAGGCTTTTTGCTATCTCCTCCTCTTCTTCTTCAATGACCATAAATTCAGCCACTGTCTTATATCAAATTTAAGAGATTGGTATGGGTCCCTTAAAATTTTTCTGAGGAAATAGTTACTAAGGACCTTCTAGCAAAGCAAAAAGGAATACTCCTTTGATGAAAATAAAGGGGCCACTGTCCCCTCCATTGATTGGACAGAGGAATTTGAAATGAATGGGCAGTAGGATACGAGGAAAATCTGCGATGTGCGATAACATTTTTCAATTTTGCGAATATGACAATTAGGGCTGCAACTAACGATAACGTTTATGAACAATTTATCTGTCAAGCATTTTTTACAGTTAACCTGTTAGTTGTTTGTTCCATAAACTGTCAGAAAATGGTAAAAAAAAAAAAGGTCAATCAGTTTTCCCCAAAGCCCAAAATGATGTCACTCAAATGTCTTGTTTTGTCCACAACCCAAATATATTTAATTAGTTACTCCATTAGCGGAGTAAAATATTCACATTTGAGAAACTGAAATCAGGAGAATATTTACACCTTTTTTAAAAAGTTGCTCAAAACAAATGATTATAAAAATAGTTGGCAATTAATTTAATAGTTGACAACTTATCAATTAATTGACTAATCATTGCAGCTCTAATGACGATATGACTAAGCGAAAGAGTTACACTACATACATACAGCTTTCGTATTAACTTGTTTGTAACGTGCTATTAGCCGAGTTAGCATGCTGTGCTTGTGTACAACCAAAAGACTGTGTACAGAGCAAATACAAATTTTGCTATCTACATGTTTATGTTTATGCTTGTTGAACAGGTGTATTGATAAAGTTTGTTTGTTTTTTTTATTTCACATACAATTGTAATTGTCATCAACTCGAGCTGCAGCTTGATAATAAGTCTTTTGCCCCGGGCCTGTTTAATACAGTCTTTTGCGATGTGTTTATTGCGCATGTTCATATCACAATGATGAAAATGTATTTGTCAGCACTATTGGGCAGTAAATAACACATGCCTTGCACCAATGTTCAGAGCTAAAACCTGTTAAAAAGACATGTAATAACCTATCTATCTACACATGGTTTTAAACCCCAGCAGATTTAAGATGTATTTCTTGAGGCATTCAGGATCCTTTTTTGAGTGCAGGTGAGATTTTCAGGTCTTTTCATCACCAAGTTTGAATGCAAATTTGCGCTTTTCATTACTGCCACTCCACAGTTATTTCAACACTTTCTGTTCAATTCATATCAGGCTAGAAATGAATCAAACCCATCATTAAATGCCTTCTTTAATCAGTGTGCCGTCCTCCTTTTCTTGCTCTTGCAGCCATGGTGCTTTTCAGGCTCTTCTTTCTTGCCTCTGGGTTTGTGACAGAGTATTAGAATAAAGGAGTATGCGTCAGGGCACGATGTCCTCACTCTGCTTCGGTCATTTGCCATTCTTTTCCTTCATTTCATTACTATTCAAGGCATGATGAGCTCCACCTGCCAACATGGGCCACGCAGCCGAAAAACTGTGTCAGGGATGGGTACCAAAGAAAAATGGAGTGGTCTTACACACTCATACATCACTTTATATGTATGTCAGTTTCCATAAGGTAGATGATACTTAAGGAAACAATAGGATTTTCTCCTTCTCATCCACAGGCCAATAACCACTATGCTCCCTGAAGAAGGATCACTTTTACTCAGGTGGAAAAACACTCACTCAAACAAAATCTTTCTTAATATGGAAAGACATGTTCAAATTTTAAGATCACTTTTTTTGCATCCTCCTTGATTTCTTCCTTCCAGTAGGTGCAGGCGATTGGAAAACGTTTGCTGCTGTGGCCAAGAGCAGAAGGTCTTTCACAACTCAGTCACTTGGACTGGTTGTGATTTTGAGTATGGAAAAAGACAATAATTTAGATCTTTTTCCACTCACTTTTTCCAATCTACTGATGCCATGAACAGACTGGCTTATTAAGTTACAGACTTCCACACCAGGTCAGAGCCGTTTGAGGATGAAAATGTTGCAGACATTAAAAGACTCAGATGGATACATCTCGTACTCTACTTCATACCATGCCATAGAAATCACACTCCTCTGTCATCACTATGGCACCACACTGCTATATTATAACCTCTATTCTGATTCATATTTTGAAGGAAAGCCTCTGACTTCTGACCCTGCTCCATTTTTGGATATTTATTATGTGCCTGTCAAGATGTGTGGTAGTGCAGTAAGTCTGGTTTTCCTGCCAGATAAACAGTTTCTGCTCTGCATTCTGTAGCAAAGTGGAAAATATGATGTATGAAATATTCTTCCAAATATTCA